TGAATGCAGAGAGAGAGAAAAAAAAAAGGAAAAAAAAAAAAAAAGAAAAAAATACAAATTCTATATTACATACAACAGGAAAGTGGCTGAAGACAGACAACGCAGAGGTGCCTGCGGCCTGCCCTGCGGGGCCCTGCCAGGGCTGGGGGCCCAGGTGCTCCCCGCCACAGGGCTCTCTCCTCCCTGGGATCCTTCGTCGTCATTGGGGTCGCTGGGATTCTCTTCTGGAAGCGAGTGGTGGCGAGGGGGCCCGGCCTCAGTTGGCACCCCAGCTGTAGCTGTTGTAGGCGGACTTGTTGGCCTGCGATTTCTGGGGGATGGAGCTGCCTTGGCTGCGCTGCCCGGAGCCGCTCTGCAGGAAGGGGCAAAAGCAAAAGTGGGTGGTGAGTGCAGGGGAAGCAGCYYCAGCCTAMTCCTACTCCAGAAGAYGGCCCTGGGCAGCAGCTCCTCRGCACCYGCTGATCCWCCTCAGCTCAGCTGAGCTCCCTGGCACAGGGGCTGCCTTTGGCACTGCACAGCTGTACCATCTGTGCCCTGGCAGCCCCAGCACCCTCCCCTGGCTCTGCACCTTCCTCCAGGCCAGCAGCACACAGGGCCAYGGGGAGCTTGAGCTGGCCACTGAGCAGCAGGGAGACAGGGAAGGGTCGGTGTGGGTTTTGTCTGCGCGCGGCGCGTGTGTGTGCACATCCTGACTTGGCCTCTCTGCTCACCTCATGGGGCCACGGGGGAGAAGGAAGGGGCTATGTGATCCTTAGGGGAGCCTTAGGGGTGGGGGCAGACCCCAGGGCAAGTGCAATGCATTTTCAGAGAGTTCATTACCTGATCTTCCTGCTGGCGTTGGCAGCACAGTATCATCTGCAAATATGGAAGCTGTTGCAGTACCAGGATATGTAAAATAAAGGGACAAACTATGACAGTAGAAATCCACGGTTAGACCTGAAAGCTCCTGCAGGGTTGTGGCTATGGCRAGTAACCCCTGTGGAGCTGCCCCTCTGAGGATGGGAGAGGTCGGGGTGCCCCAGATTTGTCTGTGTGAGGGGGCACTACCTGGCCATACRTGGTGCAGCCAGCAGCAGGGGGGTTGTGCTGAGTACCCACCCCGGCAGAGTGCACCCCAGGCCTTCCTTCTCACTCTGTCCTTGTRCCTTTGGCCCTGTGTGTATGTGAAGGTGTGAGCATGTGCGTGTCACTGCGTGTGTCCGCCGCAGAGCATGAGGGAGGGAGGCAGGGAGGGACAGGGGGAGCTGAGGGGGAGCAAGAGCCCTAGGAGATGCCCCAGCAAGGGGCATTGCTTACCTGCCCGTCCTGCTGCAGGTGGTGGTGGAGGATCTGCGAGTGTGGCTGCTGATGTGGGGTCAGGATGTGCATGAAGGGGGTGGGGGGATACGCCGCTGCCGTYGCAGGGTTGATGGGGCCGCCGCTGCCCAGCGCCGAAGGCAGGTTGAAGGAGGCTGCTGGGGTTCCAGTGTGAAATCCCTGCTTCTCGAAGGATTGCTAAAGAGGAGATGCCAACGGTGGAATAAGGGCTGGGAACAGGCTGGCAGTGTGCCCCTCCCCATCTCTACACATCAGGCTCAGAGTCAGCGTGTAGTGCAGACATTGGATAGAGTCTCTTATGGCTCTTTCTGGGCTTGCAATTGGTCTAAGCTGGGAAATGTCAAGCATTTCCCTTCTCCCTGGCTMACTGATCCAAGGGGAAGAGACCTTATTGCCCAGGGAGGCTGTCTCAGAGCTTGGCTTCTCCCCAGCAATGCAAGGAGCACTCACAGACACTAACCTGAGTTTTGGAGTAGACAGAGCCCGAGATGTCCGGCACCCCTGTATTACTGGATGTCACGGATACACCTGGGGAGAAGGCAGAGGTGGGTGTTAGGCAGAAGCTGCTTGCTGCAAATGCCAGCAGCACCTGGTGGAGAGCTTCAGTGGTCAAAAGTCTGCAGATAGATTGGCCTGGGCAGCCAGGCCCTGGTGTGACCACATGCAAAGCACCCATGAGTGTAAATTTTGCTTTGGACACATGGTTTCAAAATGCCTCCAGGAACCAGCTAAAGGGCTGGCTGTCACTCAGAGAAACATAGAAAAAAAAAAACAGTTCTGAGGAGAGCTGGGGAATACAGGAAACAGAGGGAAACAAATCCACAGCATGTGGCACAGCAGCAGTAACAGCCCAAAAGCTCTTTGGGGGTGAAACAGGCAATTGCATGTAAAGGTAACTTGGTTGTAGTCTGGGATGGCTACTGCAGTGACTGATAACACAAGTTTCACAGGGTGTTGGCTGTCTGTAAGGGTGGCCCAGAGGACACCTCAGCCATTATTTAATGTCTGGAAAAAGTGCTGAAATGAAAGCAGTTTGAAGGACTCAGCACCAGATTACCTGGTACAAAGCTGAAATACCTTTGCAAAGAGAAAACAGTACYTTGAAGGACTCTAATGYAGTRAATAAAGAGGCCAAGGGGAATTKAAACACTGGAAGAGGGACCCAAATRCAGCCCTGCCTAAGTCAGCCAAACACCAAGTACCAAGACAGGCAGCAGGTTCATGACTTTCCCACATCTTTAAGTCAAGGACACTTCCCTAGAATAAATGTCTGCAAAATACTGATGGGAGACAAGTTCAAATGCAGAACAACTGCTGTTCCGTTAATCACATACGGTTAAAAAAACAACCCAAACAAAGCCAAACAATTCAAAAGTTTAAGCTTCTGACGGGTCCAAGGCTCCAGACAGCTGACTGCAGGGCACAGAGGAGGGCATGAAGTGATCTATAACCCCCAAACCTGCTCCAGACCTGGATGCAGAACAATCCCAGGCCTTTCCAAGGATAAGCAAATTACTTGGGAGTGGCACCTGGTATTTTTCTCCATTACAGCCCTAAGATAGCAGTCCCTACCACAGCCAGTGAAACTGGGAGCAAGCCCTGCTGCTGTGGAAGGTGCTCTGGTGGKTCTCTTACCAGTGCTGTACCCATGAGAGCCATAGCCACTGGGCTGCTGGAAAGGGGTTGCTGATGCGTTGACGCTGACATTCACACCATGCTGCTTGGAAGAGGTAGGAGCAACCTACACAACAGAGAGGAACAGAGTGAGGAGAGGCATTGCTGTGCCACCCTTCTGTCCAAATCCCACCCCTTGCCTCCAGGAAACTCACAGGGAACACGGCGGGCCCGTACTGGAAGGTGCTGGGGAGCCCTGGTACCCCTGTGTAGTATGGCAGACTGGTGTAACTGTAGCCAGGAGGCAGCGCCGGGTTCAGGAACGTCTGCTGTGTGGTGTGGTGAGTCTGGGTCTGGCTCTGCTGAGGCTGTGCCAGAGTTGTTGCAGGAGCTGGGGAAGAGGCATCACCTCGGCCAAATTTTGTTAAGTCACCTGAAATAGAGGAGGTGAGAGAAGGATGAAGAACAGATGCTAGATCCCAGCTCATTCCAACTCTGCCCAAAGGTGACGCAGTCTTTTGATAAACAGTGACTTGAATCACGCTCCCTCCTGCCACTGCCAAGGACTGTGGCCCTCACGAGCCCTCAGACCTTTGCACACTGATAAGGTGAAGCTGTTAATTGCTCCTTGGCCCTAACAGGACTACAGAGGCAAAGGGAAGCCCACAGTAGCTAACACAAGTGCCACAATCTGGCACTGGATAGACCTGCCAGCAGAGCCTGATGCTAGAGCTGTCCCTCATCCCTTTCTGTGCACCAGCAGCAGGACTGAACACAACCCAGATCTTTGCTGGGCTGTGCAGAGCTTGGGGAAGCTCCCTGTGCTGATCTTCATGAGCACCTGCTTGGCTCTTCCACCAAACACTCTCCTATTCAGAGCTCACATAGAGCCATGCTCGGAGCTTCCCATTGCAGTGTCAGCTGAGCAAAAGCACTTCCACAAACCAGCTCCTGACAAAGCTGAGGAGAAGTGGTGCCAGAAAAGGAGTGAACCTCAAAGTGCAACGATTCCTAAAGCATCTGAAAGCTTAGCACAGTCACTGCCCACTGTGGACTGGCAGTGCATAAATGCACTTACCAAGATCAGTGAGAGGTCACACACTCACAGGGTGCTTGGGTTGAGTTTGACAGGTCCCAAATTTCTCACTTGCTTTCTCCATGAGACTGTCTCATAGAAAAAACACGTGATTTCTCCATATTTTGTGTTTCTTTGTATTTTTACACTCAGTGCTTGAGAAGCACTGCTTACCACCTGCTTCACAAGCATCAGGAAAGCAGYACCCCAGTTGTAGGCCTTGCAGAATCCTTCAGCCCTTCCTCACTCCCTTTCCAACTGCCCCATTAACTCCTACTTCGCCCACCTCTTCCCAGTGTCAGACCTYGACACAACCAGATGCCCAAAGGAAAGGCAAGAATTTATCTATGAGAAGCATGCTCYAAACCAAAAGCAGTGCAGGAGGCACAGTGCAGGTGCAGATGTAGCTCCAGTGGACAAAGACACAGGACATTAGTAGAAGCAGCTCAAACCCTGATGGGATGGGAAGCAGAGCAGTCTTTTTCCCTACCAGAGTATGGATTGCTGCTCAGGCTGCCATCTCTTCCAGTCAGTGGCGTGGTGGGTGTAGGGAATGGGATGCTGTAGTAATCCTGATGAATAAAAACACAAGAAGATGTTTTGTCAGCTCTGTCCAAAGTGCAAAGCAGTATYATTTGGGAGAGAGGAATTTCTGTACTGCAGCTGCAAAATATGTCTGAGTGTTGCAGTTCAACCAGCCACATCCAGGCTGATCACAACCTACAGCAGCCCCAGGTTCTTGTAGCATGCACCATCCCCCTCATCTGGCTATTAGAAGAACCAGATAAGGTCTACTGGTATGCAGTCCTTAAATTGCCTGGACCTTTCACCCCTGCTTCACAAGACAATGGACATGTCCTACTGCTAAATAAAGCCTGTTCTCATTAGGTATTTAGTCACTGGCTGTGTCATGGATCAGAGGTGAACCTCTGTAACAGCCCTGCTGTTATAACTCACGCTCCCTGGCCTCACCAGGGATACTGCTTTATGATGAACTCATGCTCCCAGYTCCCCACGTGCCAAGGAGCAACTCATTAACCCCTCAGTGCTGCTATGGAGAGGTGCATCCACTAAGCAGCCCATTTTGCCAGCTCTTCAGGACAGCTGACCTGTCCCACCCCATGCAGCACCAGTTGAAGTGGCATGTCCCTGCCACTCTGCAGTACTCACCAATGGGAATCTTGTCTGGAGCATTTGCAAATCATCATATCCGTACACCTGTGGCTAAAAAAAAGAGCCAGAGATGACTTTAGGGACATGGACTAAAAGACACCTAATTTTAGGTTAAACATTTAGATAAATGTGAGAGAAAGCCAGAAGCAGATGGTCAGCAGCCACACAAGCCACCAGATAGAGACAGCCAGTCCCTACATGGTTGATGCTGCTGGAAGTTTGTGTGAGTTGCCCAAAGGAAAAGTGCTCCAGATCACAAAGCCACTCAACAGTTTTTCTCTGGAAATCACCCCAAAACTGAAATCTGTCCTCACCTTCAGGAGAGGGTGTGACACACCCCTAGACTTTGTGGCTGTCGCTACCCTTGCCCTGACTGTTCACCCTTTATCACACCACGTTTCTAACACAGCTCTGTGCTTTCACACAATGTGCTCTGCCCAAGGGCTCCTCAAAGGCTGGGGAGGCTGCAGAGAACAGGCACACAGACTCTGCTCTGGGGTGATCAGGACACATATTTACCCCCACGGGCACATGGGTATCATGGAAAAAACACCAGGTCCAAACTCCACCTAAGTCTAAGGCAGCCCTGTTAGACTATGCCACAGTTTTTGGTTACCCCACTATGCTACATCCCTCCCTGCTGCAGAGGGTACTGGRAGGGACATGCTGGCACTACACCACTGCAAAGTTCCACTCACCGGATAGGCATGTAGCAACCCTGGAGCCATGATGTATGGATTAGGCAACAACGGTGGGACTCCAGGAGGGAGATTGGGAGGGGCTTTTCCTGGAAAAGGAAAGTGAAAGGAAAAGTTCCACAGGGAAGCAGACAACAGAATTTTACTCTCTTAGCCCTCACACCTTCCTCTGATACAGCAGGACTCAGGAAAGTACCTGATGTGGTTGCAACGGAGCTGCGAGTCGAGGCCGTCACCGTGGAGTTGCTGCTGAGGCTGAGCCCCAGGCTGCTGACACTGCTGAGGCTGGATGAAACACTGACAACTGGTGGGGCAGCTGACACCGTGCTGGAGGAGGTGGAGAAAGTACTAGCAGAAGAATGGAGGCTTGCTTCACTCTCCACACTTGTGTGCTAGGAAAGGAAGGGAGGAGAGTCAGGGGACCAGGCAGATGGAACCAAGGGCACAGGTACCACTGTCTGTGCAGACCACTGATGGCTCTGCATCTGGACATTTCCACAGTTAACCTGACTTAAGTCCAAAATCCTGACAGCAGCCAACCCCTAATGCTAACAAGCCTCTCTCCAACACATCTGTCTGATGAGRGGAGCAGAGCTTGACACCACATTTGCAGCATGGAGATTTATTCGCTGCACAAGCTGATACCCAGGAACTCCACTGCAAGAGCTCCAGCAGTAGAGATGTTTTGTGACACTGCATCAGCTATCAGTTTGCTCTGACATGTGGCTGTGACTCTGCAGCACCTTCARAGGTTACTACAGGCTCAAAAGAAGGTGCTGCTCAGTCAGAAACAGGCAYGGTGTCAACAGCCTCGAGCCACAGGTGCATAGACAGTGCTCTGACATAACCTGTGTCCTCTCTCTCCACACAGCATCCAGCAGGACAGCCAGCAGCCTGGCAGATCCTGTCACAACCCCAGCAGACCCCACCAGCCAAGCAGAAACAGGACACACAGTGCAAAGAACACACCCAGACTCACCAAAAGAGTTGAAGTCGATGTTCGCCCAGAGGATGTGGATGAGGACAGACTGTTCTGCTGGGTGGGTAATGCACTGCAGGAGGAGAAATAAAAGGGTGTCAAACCAATGTGAGAGAGTCATCATTGGTWGCACCATCCCATTTCCCATCTGCTTGAATGGGATGAGCCATCTTAGTCTTCCCCATTGCATGAGACAGACTCTGATGCCTACTATAGAATCCTGCTTCTAGTTCTTCTTTAGAAATCTACCCCCACCCTTCCCAAGTCACACACCTGCTGAGCTGAGCAGTGGTTGTACTGGGGAGCTCCTCACTGTGGCTCAGGCTGCTCAGAGCTGTTGCATGTTGGCTGGCTGTTGTCAGCAAGGACGATGCAGACACCCCATCGTTGAGAGGTGCAATACTGGGAGCAGAGGGGGAATCGGATTTCACTGCAGGGCCTGTAGCACCTGAGAACCAAAGCTTTTGGTTAAGGGCAGCTACTTGCAACTTCCAGAGGATGACAAGGACAAGGATCAGCAAGTGATCAGTCAGAGAAGCCAGGAGATTTGGGGCTTCTTTCACTGCTGCCAGCCAGTCATCCACTTATGATTGTGTTCTATGTCTCACTTTACCCCAACACTACCATCAGCTCTGCAAAGAGCTTCAACATCTGCAGATWAGGTGCCTTCCACACACAAAGCAAATTATTGACATAGGTGGTCCTTCAAGGATCTCAAGGATTCATCAGCAGAAAGCTGAATGTTTCAAGGCAAGCAAATAATCTGAGTGGCAGCAATTAGTCCAGACAGGAAGGAACTTGCTATCAGCACAGATAAAGTTTCTCATTCAAAGCAGAGAACATGATCAGAACACAAGAGATGCAGGACACCTGCTGCACTGACAGACTCTTACCTTCAACAGCCTGTGTAGTTTGTAATGGCGTGGGTTGTACAGAACTGAAACCATTCTGAGGAAGAAGAGAGAAAAGGAGTATCGGGCATTAGAGCTGCTCATTTTCAGAGGCAGAGCAAGTGTCAGCTCTCTCCCACACTCCCTCAGCAGTTATGAAAAGCTCCTGCTACCAACATATGTGCTGGGGTCAGTCCCAAGTCTAGCCCCATGCCAGCATGACCCCCAAGTGTACATTAGAGAAAACAGTGCAACAAGTTTCTTTGCTGCTCATAGTTAGACTGCCTCAACATCCTCAACCCAAATTCATTAGCCAATCCCAATGTTACTGAACTGGTGTGCAGCATGCAAGAATCAAATCCTTAAGACAAAACAAAATTCTCTGGCTGCACACCCCTCTCTAGCAGGGTAACYCTGCATGACACAACACATGCCCTACAATCAGTTTGACTGCTGTTAACCCCAGTGGCCCAGGTCCAGGCACAAAATGCAGCTGGAGCAGCCAGAAGAGAATTCTTGTGAAAGCCCACGAGTCACACACTGAGGATGGAGGATCACAGAACCATTTGATAAACCACTCAGCTTCCCCTGAGACACCTCACATACAAGGCTYACTCAGCACAACAGGTGAACAAAGCTGTTCTCTTACCTTAGCCTGGGTCAGATCTTTCTGGGGCGAGGAGGAGATAGAATTTGGGTATCGCCTCGTCTGGGTGGATCTCTGTTCATACAGTGGTCCCTGAGCACTATTCTGGGAGGTAAATGTTGCTGTCTGTATTGTGCCACTCTGGTAACCAGACTCCTGGCTTTGATTGGACGAAATTGTGGATGAAGATTCACTACAAAAAAAACAAAACAAACAACAACAAAATTTTACATTTTCCAGCAAAACAGTCCTGTTGTAAGCTGCTGACCCAGACTGKGCTCTTCACTTCGAATACTCAAGATAAAAAGCCCCAAGCATCCCTATAAAGGCACCACATGAAGCAGCCAAGCCAAGAAACATGCYTAGAGAGCAGGGCTAGCCCAACCATGGACATCCAGCTGTGCCTTAGGTAACACTTCATGAGCTGCCAGCACTCAAGAGACTGGCCAGTTACTAAGGGTCAGTCCAACAGAAGACAAACACTTCATTTTGACAACTGCCATCAACATAGATACACATACCCCACTGTGTCCCAGTTTGCCAGGCAAAAAGGACAAAGCACTGTCTTGGTTTGAAAGACAGGTGTTTTGTTAATAAAGGCAGGGACTCTCTACTTGGAGTGGTGGATATGACCTCCCTTCTTTCTGACTTATTATAGCTTTGAAAAAAAAATCACGGGCTTTTAGGTAAGAATATGGGGRAAAARGAATAACAGTTTGCACAACAAGCACTCAGAATTCGTTCACCGGAGACATGGAACAGTTGTGCTGGGGAATCCCCTCCTGTGTTTCCAACACAGTTTAAGGGCAGCTGGAAACTGCTTTCTGTGCAAGTACYGCAGGTCAAAGAGCCACAGAGCCGCTCAGTGAGTGTGCAGGTAACTTGTGCTTTGCTGTTGCATACATTGTCCCCCCTTTGTGACCAAAGAACAGTCAGAAAGGGTCTACTAGTATGCAGAACAACTCAAGACCAGTGAGCTCCCAAAGCTGCCAGCTTGGATGAATGTTTCCCAGTCCTCACCTGGCCGAGCTGGTGTACAGGCTGCTCTGAGACTGGCTCACAGCAGCACTGGTTGTGGGCGTCGATTCGTACTCGGCAAGAACAGGCTCTGAACCAAACTGTAACGCCCCAAACTGCAGGTTTAGCCCTGAGATATCCGAGGAGCCAGGCATTTCCACTGCAAGTGCAGGAATCTGCAAGGAAGGAACAACACAACGRGTTAATCATTCTCTGCAATTAGCCCAGAGAATGGCTTCAGTAGCCACGTTTCCCAGCACACAATGGCAGTTACAGGTTTGCAGCCTCTGAATTACACTGTTCAATCCAGGCAGACACACAGCTCCACCACCCACACAAACACCCAGTGCTGACAGCAGGAAGGCCAAGCCCAGACCTCCCCTCAACAGCCCAAATGGATTTTTCTCCAGCTCTAACACTGGTCTGCACCTTTGATGTTAATGATGCTTTTTTCTTTTGCTGCTTCAGCTTCTGCTGKGCTGGCTGGGGACTTGAAGACTGGTTGTCCGAGGACCCTGGGGACATCTGGGGAACAGGATTGGTTTTGCTGGGCAATGGAGAGGAAGGGGGWGCCGGCGTGGTTGTGGAAGCAGTCACCACAGGCTGTTTCTCCTGCATGAACACTTCTATCATGGTTGAAGTTGATGTGAAGCCCTGACGCTTGGTGAAGGGACTATGCACGGAAGAGTCTGTTGGGTTCTTGAGATCTATGGGATAAGACAGAGGTGAGTAAGCAGAGTTTCCTTAAAAATAAATCCATTTCTGACACTTACTAAGAAAAATAAATCCATTTCCTCTGTATTTCATCCTGAAGCCTGTTGAAATCAGRGAGCAGAGAACTTYGGCATCTCTGCTCCCAGCCTTGCAYTCTCAYCAMCAWCAAAAYGCCTTTTTTAGCCCYTCTTCCATCAGTTTCTTTACTGAYCTCTACAAGAYAAAGCTAGCTTRCATGGCAGAAGTCCTCCACTCTCCAAGAAAAGCTGGACTCCAGAGTCCCTCGTGTGGGCACTGCACATCAAGAGTCCTGCAGGCCACTTCCTTCCCATCTCTGTTAATACTCCTGCATTCCATTGCCTGCTCCTTCCCCTGAAGGGATGAGGCATCTCCAAGCAACATCACTGTTTGGGGCTGCCCRCTCAGGACACTGCTTCACCTTTTTYTTCTGACTAAGCCTTTCTGCAGYTCATTCAAAACCAACTCCTATTCTCTGTGACTCTCCTCTGAGGCTTCTTGTCTGAGAAGATCAGAAGCTGCCAACACTGTCTGTCGCTAGTACAGCAACTCAATTTTTCTTTAGCTTAGATTTGAACCAGAGCCATTTCCCTRTAACAAGCACAAGCTGAAGGAAATGGCACTAGCACTCAACCACAGCAAAACTCATCTTCTCATCTTAAAAGAGCCTCTCAATCCCTGTTTATTCCCTCATGTCAGCCCAGAGATAGAGTAACTTCTTGGCATTTAACAGCAAATCTCATCCCCTTAAAAGATAATATGAGTTCAGCAGGGAGAGGAGACTGAATGAGCTGGTATTTGGGAGCTATTCTCCAGAGGTGCCCTTTCAGACCTTTTTCTGCCACAGCTTTCCACCGGGAAGTAGTTCTGCAAACACTGAGAGGCTCAGGAACACCAGATCCCTGGCCCTGAAGCTGTCTGGAATGACAGATTCAACTGTTCCAAGTATAAAAGGAACAGAGAGRGACTCACACACACTGTTATATTTTAGTCTCACCCACAGCTCTTTTAATTTTTCCAGCTCAGCTGAATTGGTTGTGAACTTGTGAACAGACCCTCTCCTGAMTCCCTCCCACCACTGCTCCGCAGTTTTGGGGGAACACGTTCCCTCCCCTCTGAGGAGCCAYGCTGCTTTTCCTTACCGTACTGCACCAGAGACGAGGACTGTGTGGTGGATCCCATGTCCCAGGAAGCAGCAGTGGTGCTCCCAGCAGGCTGGGTGTGCTGAGCTGCCAGCTGAGCCAGAGCCTGGGCTGTCTTGAACTGCTCCAGGAACTGCGACCCTGTGGTACTGCTGCCTTTGGCCTCCCCGACATCTCCAAACCCTTTCCCCAACATGCTCACCTGCAATTTCAGCAAAGAGATAAAGTCAACATCTCCCATGGCTTGGAATTTGGCTTAGAGGACAGGTACATTTCTTAACCTAAGCCCACTGTAGCCTGCTTTCTCACTGGGTGCCTCAGCTAAACACTCCTGAGCTCCAAACACTTAAACACTGCTGGCAGGAAGGGCTCACACCCCTTCCCAGCCTCCATTGTGTGTGAGCACAGCTATGCTTGTCTCTTGCCCAAACCATGCCATGGTACAGTGTYAGGGAGGGTTACAAAGGAAGTTAATACACAGGATCTTAAAAAACGTACATAATTATTCTCATGCAGTCAGTTGCACTTAAACACCAGGAGATCTTGGCTTTACGGTTAATGTGGTTTTGAAAATCTTTCCTTAACTTTCCTCACCATTAAGTAAACAATTTTTCTTTCTTTTTCCTAAAGTCACACAAAGCAGCATCTGTCCAGGTCAATGCACATCCCTGACTCTGACTCAAYGTCTCCTTCCTCCTCCTGTCATGCTGGAGTGGATGCCAGCATTCCATCCCAACCAGTTCCATTTCTCAAACTGTTGAAATTGCAAGCCCTGGACCACAACAGTTTTTATTTTCCTTAGAGCACAACAAATGTTGTGCTTGCAAATCTGACAAGGTGAGGAGAAATTATGCTAATTATTTCAAATTGAGCAATGGACATCAGGCCACTGCTTTTAAAGCAGTCTGGCAAATTATTTGGTTCTACCAGCCCCAAACAGTGAGCACGTGTCAGGACTATATTCCTGTATTTCCTATATTACCCAAACAGATGCAGAACAGGGGATAAGCATCCTCAGCCAACAGAAACCATGCACTGGCAGGGACCAGCATTTCCTTACCATGCTGTGGTGAGAGAAGGAGTTTCCAGARGCAGGCTGGGATAGAGCACTCTGCTTAGAATTGCTGAACACCAGTGGCTGGGCCAGGGAAGGAGTCTGGGATGACTCCAGGTTTGTTGACTCATTCTCCATAGAAGAGGGTGTCTTTCCTAGCAGGACTGCCAGATCAATTCTGGGGAGACAWAGATAACACAACAAGGTTACCAGAAGCTCCCACTTCCATTGGAACACTATTACCCCTCCAGCCTCACAACTTTCACCTTGCAAATTGAAGGAATCCACAGAACATTAACTCWCAATTGCCAGTAGCAACCTCAAAAAGAAAGACTGACCAAGCAGGACCCTGCATGGCCTTTGATTTAAATCACACTTTACATTCATTTAACACAGAAAAAATGCCCCCAAACCTGAAGAGCCAGGAACAGAACCTAGAAAAATTTTAATTCGGGATTAGAACCCAGAAATTCCTAAGTCAGCTCTTCCATTTAAATTCACCTCATCTCGTTCACAGTTGCTGCATTTTAGCTAGCTAGTAAGGTTTAGCTGAAGATRGCAAATTGCTCCAAGACCAGTGTGTTACTTTTCCCAGGTAAACAGCATCACCATGGGCTCTCACCTTTGTCCAGCTGTGATTGTCACATTCTCAGCAGGCAGAGGCACTGAAGACACATTGGAAGCTGTGAAGATCTTTGTCTCTGACAGCTGAAAGATAAAATAGGAAAAAAGAATCCAAAAGTCAGAACAGCACCTTGTAACAGTGTCTGTGACACAAAGCACAGAAATCTTTGAGACAAACAGCCACAGGAAAACTCAAGAAATTCAAGTATTTAGATTGAAACTTCTCTAGCATTTGGCTCCTATCAGAAGCAGCTTCTATTTCATTTGTTTCTTCTCAGGCAAGTTGTCAAATCACATGCCAGTGAAGAAAAACCCTTCTACAAATTTCCCATAGTCCACAAATCCTCTAGGGCTGCTGCTCTGAGTCAATGGCAGGCAGCACAGATCTGCAAAAGCCATTGCACAGGGAGCTGCAAAACTGGTAGACAAGGCAAAGGGAGAAACTTTGAACCAAYAGTTGTGTTTCCAATGATCTGGGCTCACTTGGATGATGTGACCAACAGATCTACTTCAACTATGGAAGGGAAAAYAACATTGCTCAAAAATGGATGGACKGTCAGTGACCACCCGTGATTTAGCCTGGAACATATCTGAGTATGAACAGCTTCTATTCCAGACTGAAGAGCTGCCACAAACTGAATTCCCAGAGTTTAAAAAGTCCAGAACTCCTGGAAGCATCTCACACAGAGGGTAAGAAAGGTTCTCAAAGGCTCCCTRCTAGCAGAGACCTGACTGAACAAAGAAAAGCTGGTTTCTCCAAGCACAGCAGTAGTGCTTCCCTCAGTCAGTGCCTGGAAAGCAAATGCTTTGCCCATTCTGTTGGCAGAGCCAAAATGAGCATGCAAATCTAACAATAATACTAAAAAAGCCCAACCCTGCTCCCATCTGCAAGAACAGAATTCATCTCTTGATTTGGAGAGGGACTGAAGTCCATTTCAGAAGAAACCGATAGGCATTAAAAGGAGGACCCTGAGAGTGTCCATTCTCCCCTCGAGGAACACCAGGTACAGAACAAAAAATGGTGAGACACACCAAAGAGCACATMAGAAGGTAAAGTCAAGAACTTGTTTTCTGCCCAAATCACAAGGACCAGCAGAGGCATATAATGTGCATGAAACCATGAATCTGCTGCTGGTGTGACCAAAACTGAATGGCAACTGCACCAGAGGAGTGGAGCAAGAGTCCTGTGTGGAGTCAGACCAGTTTTTGGAAGAATTCCATCATGCAGTTCCAGGAAATGAGAGGACCAGCCTCAATGACCCAGGAGATCCTTTCCTGTCTTGGGCTCCTATKACAAGCTCTATTCCACAAATCCTTTAGAAGCTGTGACAATAACTTATTCATCATAGCTCTTGGGGCTGGGAGCCTGGCTGGTGTTCCAGAGTTTGGGAAGGATGGGCTTCGAGCTCCCCTGGCAGCTCTGTGTGTATAGACAGGACAGCAGCCTGCTGGCAGATGCACAGAGGAGATGGGTTTGGAAAATACCTACATCTTCATTCCAGTCTTCYGTGCCCCATTCTTCTGTTGCTGCCCTCCATGCACCTACAAGGACAACAACAGGTACAGAAATTATGCATGCATCAAAGCTCTACCTCCAACAGCTGGGGGAGCACTGGGGAGCATTGCAGAGTGCCAGGAGGACTCTTATTTGCCAACCAGACAAGTTCAAGCAGTCAACCCCAACCCACACTTCATGGTCAAGGCACCATAATGGGATCACCTCTGCCTTGCTGGGMCAGGCTGGGCTGAAAAAGAGGGTCTGCTGGGCTGGCAGATAGGGCAATGCACACCCTCCCAACACCCAACAGGGAAGCTGAGCTCAGCAAGGAAGCCCCAGCATTGTTCCCAGCCTGCTTGTGCCGTTTTCCTGACTTCCCCTTGTACTGCAGTAGCTGTAGGTTTGTGCACTCACAAGCAGTCAGTGTTACCCCAGCAGCTCGGACAGGGCATCTCCCCCATGGGCCTCCTGCCAGCTCTGGCATAGGATCTCATCATCCACATAAACCTCAAGTTTCTATAAAAACTTAAGGATAATGGAGCCACTCCCATGCTTCATCTTCACCCCCACCAAAAAAGGTCTTGAAACTCAGTGCACCAGAACCTTCTGTGCACAACCAAATAGGATTCAGAAAAGAAAATTTAAAGGACTAAGCAATTCTTGCATTTTCTGTGACCAGTTTCAGAGATATGCTCAAAGCATGCAGCTTAAAGTACCAGGGAGAAAAGCAGAAGGCCTCAGCTGCAATCCAACACAGCGCAATTTAAGCGAGCCAAATTCACCAGAAAGAARAGTTTTGCCTGGCTGCATCTTCAACTTGTTCTAACCCTCACTTCCATCACAGTTTAACCTCTGTATTTTGAATATTATATATCAGTTTCAGACTCCATTTAACAACTAAAATTTGGTTTGGGAAGAGAGCAGGAGCTTTCACATCCCCAAAATCCTCAAGATCATAAAGTCAGCCACATTTTGTGTAGCTTTTCAGTCCACACAAACCAGATCAAAAAAATCTGACAGCGCCAATAGGGTTAATCCTGAAAACACTTACTGGGACAGAACAAGTTGGTATCAGCCCTTTTACAGCAYAAAACATAGCACATGGGGAGGGAGAACATGCTGAGTTCTTCTGCAGGACACAGATGTCCCCATATACACTTCAAYTGTGTATTCAAATAACTGCTTGTCTAGAACTGGGGGAATTAGTGCAAGAAATAAGTATCTGTGAATTATTCAGTTTTCATYGKTTTTTTGTTTTGCTTGACATGTTGAGCCAATTCAAGAAGTCTCCTAGGTTTTTTTTTTTTTAATATTCAAGTTTGAAATACAGATGGATTAATACAACATCACTTGTCAGAGTGCCAGGAGTTTTAAGGCACACTACACCTTCCTCCACAGCCAGAAGCATCAACATATTCAGCACAAAACACATCTGCAGTTTAGAAACCTAAATTTTCCCAATCCTTAGATTTTTGGAGCACTCACAGCAGTAGCAGAAAGGCTGCTTTCTAGATTTTCATGGATCAGAAACACTTTTCTAGCTAAAGCCTTACCCAAGAGGTGAAYTGGGAGCTGAATGTACCTGCAGCTGGCCCAGAAAGAAGGGAGACAGGAGAGCTTGTCTTGTCTCCCTCAGACAAGAGAGTTTGTGCATGCAGGAACAGAGCATGGGGCTCTTAAGTCTTGTTTGTTTGGGGAAAATAAGAAGAAAAGCAAAGYAGCACTAAAAGCAGAAGGAAACCCTGCAGATGAAGAGCAGCCATTGACAGGRCTTTCCTGGCAAATCTACTTCTTGAGTACAGACACTGCCTCAGCACAGCTCAAGCTCCCTACACACAAWGGGGCAGATGGAAAATCAAAGATCTGTAATGTATAACTGGGCATGCACCAGAAACATTCCAGAAAGCCCCCAACTAGCACAGCATGGATTTTTTTTTCCTAAAGAAACCAACTGCATCACTCTCCATCAAGCTCTTCTGAAGGGGAGAGCTGCAACACAAGCAATACCCTGAGCCTACTAACACTATCTAAACAGCAAGCCTTCCTCTTTGCTTTCAGAAAGCCCTTCAAAGAGCTGCTGGTCTTGAAGCTGCTCAAACCAAGAAAAGGGGAAAAATAAAATTAAGCTAACAACATGTGCAAATATGAATGTGGTGAAGGAAAAAACCCTGTTGTGGCTCCAAGATTTTTACATCCTTCCCCAAATACACTCACTCTTCATTTTAAACTGGAAGATAACCACCCAGCTTGCTCCTCCCACAGCCCAGCAGGCAGTCTGCTGCCTCTCAAGGACTGGATCCAGGCTTGTCACCCTGGACTGGAAAAGCAACAGACCTAAGGGCCCCCACTCTGCACCTCAAAGGAATGTAAATCCAAACAAAGCCAAAGGGCAGCAAAACCACAATGGCAGKGCTGGAGCAGATGGCCTGGTGCTGCCTGTGGAAGTTAAAGATTAACCCTGAGGTGAGAACCAGGAAATGCTGCAACACAGCAGAAGCACTCCCTGTGTGTCTACCTGCCTTCAGGCCCCTGCAAGAGAGATTCCTCTGCCTCAACACTTCTCCTGCCCTGACCTTCAAGAGGCAAGTGGCAAGTTCTTCTGGGAGGTCCTTTAGCCTCAAYTTCAAGACCTCAGGTTAGATGGAGGAGATAAGTCAAACAGGATGTTGGCCTTTTTATGGACACCAATGGAATTCTATAGAGATAAGGCAACCTGGATCATCTCCTGRGTGTCTCTTGGCCTCATAAGGTATAATGGTATAAGAGCAGGAAATAAAGAAGCCAGGCACAGAGCAGCTTTGCCATCAAGCATCCATGTCATCACAAAATCCACCACCATCTTCAACTGCAGGGAAGCAAAGAGGAGCAGCCAGAGCATGCCAGAGCACTGCTCACCCAGCAGCAGCCAGAATTAGAGACAAAGCACAGAGTTCAGCCAAACCTACTGCCCTTGCAGCAGTGTTGTGACCCTAAGCAGGGACAGTGGGGAGGCCAGAGCAGAGCTGCTGCAGAAATGGCACAGGGACAACAGAAAGTCACAGCTTTTGGGATGTGGAACAAAGGGAATGTGACTGAGCTGTCTCACACTCCCTGCCCTTGGGTGTGATACTCTGTCAGTATTGTGGACACTGAGCTGCTCTGGGCATTGAGAAGCAATGGCTAAAGTTAAAATTTGCATAATCCACAGGAATTGGTGTTAGCTTCTCCCAATTTACAATCRAGGTGTCAGTGTTAGTAAAAGCACAGTCAGAACAAATGTCAAATATTAATTAAAATGAACAAATCAAGAGAGAGAAGAATGACATATCCACAGATATTTCAGATTTTTTTAAAAAAAGCTTTAAAGTAAAGGTATCCGGGGCAGTTAGTGCACCTGGATGTATCGTACCAGGAGCAGTGTCAAATTTTCGGGGATAATTTGACCCCTCACCCCCAATGAAATCAAGTCCTGAAACAAAAAAAAAAGAAAAGAAAGACAACCAGTGAAATTTTGACTTAAAGAAGTGAAGGTGAGTTTCATTGCCCCCATGTACACCAGTCACATTGTACCTGTGGATATTATTAATTTAAAGAGATACCTGTGGCTACTAAATTGGAAACAAAATAACCACACACAACACAGGTGACCAGTAGAGCTGCACAATAAACTTTCCAGCTGTGTTGTAGTACTAGAGCAAATTGGAATTGTTCTGTTAGAAGAATCTTCAGTTCCCTCTAACCATACTGTAACCCACTTCATTCCACAATTCCACACAACACCAACACAGGAAAAAAAAAAAACCCATCCACACAGAAGTCTGTTCCTAACAGACAGATAAACTTTCAGGACACAAAGCTTGTCCTCTCTGATCCCTTTTTCTGCGGAGGCAAGCAYACCCACTGCCCCTAACACATTCCCACACTACTCCCTCTGGTATTTAAAACCCCTTTCTCTGCTGCCAAGAAGAGACCACTCTGCTGGTATTTCACAAAACACCCTCCTTCCACAACAGCTCTCTGTCCTGAAGAAAAAAAATAAACAAAAACCAAAACCCAAACAAAATTCATAAAAAAAAATCAAATTAACCACCCCCATTCCTCTCCTCAACACTAACACTATCAGGATTTCAGCCAAATCAAGAAGTATGAAAGTGGCCTAAAGSACCATTAACACAGGTGTGGATGCTTCTTACACTCAAGATGTGCTATTTATTKAAATGCTCAGTAATTGTGGAAAAATAGTTTGATTTTGCAGTGGTGCAAGATTGCTCTGTAAAAAAAAGACAACAAAACCACCACTGAGTCCCCCCTAAACAGGCTTTTTACAGTCAAGGACTGTGACTGTCCCATTGTCACAACAAAATCTGAGTTCACCTGTGTCTCARCATTGAGCCTATGTGAAACAAAACGCAGAGCATCAATTCTGCAATGCAGGAGAATGTGCAGGGGCAGCTGGGTGTTCATAATCACCCAGCAAACACGTTTGCTTCAAACACTGAAGAAGTGCTCTGTTAGTTTCTGTAACAAAGTCCCATCCCACTGTGGTTTGATCAAGATGACCATAAAAGTGAGAATGCTCCCAGTATCAAAATCAAGAACAATGTATCTGACTCCGAGTGATGCTCTCTGGAGGATGCACCAAACATCAGGAGAACTTGGATCTGCTCATCACACTACAGTTTATAAAAAATACTTYGCCAAGCAGTAGCACGGTTTCCACTGGAAAATACAGGTGAATGTTCCTGCTCCTCTGCTGGGCAACAGCACCCACAAGCTCACTCCAGAGCAATCATCCAGCTCCCCTTTCCAATATGCAAAGGGTGCAAAGTATCAGGGTCATCAAAATCCATCTCTGAACCATTCCCTGAGCCTAAGATCTGCCCAGAATGTCTTCAGTGCAACTGGATGGATGCAAAATCCACTCACCCTCTCAATACAAAGCAGCTCACATGCATGTGAAGACACTTACTTGTGCCATCGTCCGGCTCAAAGCTCCCAGTGTTGTTCCACGTATTGTTGTTGCTATTCCCATAATTCTCATCTGTGCTGCTYGGCTCAGCATAGTCAGCTGGATTGAAAGTCCTGTAAGAAATATGAGTATGGAAGTGTTCACTCTGACAAAGCATTTTGAAAGGAACTGATTTTATTCAGACCATAACRCATCTCACAAGGCAGTTCTCTGAGYAGAGAGATGCTTTARCAACACCAGYCATCCCAAATTTATGTTACCTATAATTTGGGCCTTATTAACAAAAAAAGGAAAGTGGGAACAGAAATGACTGACACAAATAGCATTATTTATGCATGACTTTTATTTATCCTGTGGTTTGTGTCAGTGAAGCTTACCCCATGCCTTGGGCAGAAAATCTTCCCCCTCGCCGTCCAGAGCCACCTGTAAATACACACACACATACACACAGTSCTGAGTGTCTCTTTGCTCTGTGTCACTCGGAAAAGAAACACTTGAACAATGGATGGAGTTCTGATGCCCAGAATRTGAAAGTGGAGAGGATCTTCCTGGGTTGATGGGATTTCCAGCAGCATGTTTAGATGCTTAGGAATGACCTCAGCTGGCTGGCAGCATGATTAGCAATGCATCATTCCAGGCTCAGATGAGGTTTCCAGCTGGCACAAACCATTAAGTACTGGACCCCAAGTTCTGATTTCTGCAGTATGTGACCTCAGCATTAACTCCTAAGCAGCAGATTTCAGGGTAAAACTAACTTCTACCCCAAGTATTTAAAACCCAAGCCAGTGGTGGTGCTCAGACACRTGTACAAGAGTGATGAGGGTGCAGGTTCTGTTGCTAACAAGCCATTAGCCCACCTGCAAAATAGTTAACTTCAGGTTTTTATAATTCCCACCTCTGTAATATAGCACAATAYTTTTCAAACTCCGCAGATAGGATGCAAGAACTAAGTACTGTTCCTAGCATCCTTAAGATGGGAAAGCAACATGTAGGCACTAGAAGTAAGCACAAGAACAGAAGAAACAAATGCATATTTTCAGTTTGGTAATTGCTGCCATAAAAGAAGTTTTGGAACCTCATGGGAGATAGATACACTGATGTCATTCTTCTCCTCCCACCCTCTTGGGCCTAACATCCTGTGTGTACCTCKGCCTCGGCCACGTCCCCGTCTCCCTCTTTCCGTGCCTCTTCCAGAAGATCCTCCACTCTTAGCACCATCTAGCCCATTCTCCTGGCCCCGAACTGAAAAACAGAACAAKGCAAAGGCAATTTCAAGACTCATCCTGATTTAGGAGGGATACTAGACCAGAYCTCAAACCCCAAAATGCAGTGTCTGTGCAGGGGACCACATCACCACATAGCCCCTGAAATTTTGATTTAAGCTGATGGTAGAGAGGGCATCACCCAAAGAGAGGAGAGCAATAAACAGATCCAAAAACACACGGGTGGTTTTCCCCACAGATGTGTCTGCCCAAAAAGCTTTACTGACAGCTATTATACAGCACAGAGTAGGCTGGTGTGAGGGTTTTGGGGGTTATTAAAGGGCAGGTTCATACACTCTCTTCCACGGCTGGCACCTCGTCCTCGCCTCGGCAGCCCGCCACGTCGTCTGCTGAAATCCCGCTCCCGCTCCCGGTTCTCTTTGCTTTCTTCACTGGGTTCCGTCTGTCCACTCTCTTTCTGTCCTGAGACACCTTTCTTCTTCCCAACCATTTCCCAGGAATGCTGAAGGTATGCAGAGGGGAACAAAATTAATCATAGATCAACGAAATTAATCATAGATCAACGAAAGATGCAAATACATAAAGATTTAAACATAGAATATACAGAGAATATAACAGGGATCTCTGGAAAAATGATTTCCAGACCAATTTTTTTCTGAAGGAATCTATCAGCCTACACACAGCATAYCTCCTTCCTTTGAGGCAAACTTTCTTACAGCTGACTGGCACGCAGTTTGAGGTAATAGGAAATGAGTTATTCTATTTCTGCAAAGATCTACTAAAATTCTTCAATAGAGAGGGCATGATACTCCCAGTGTTCAAAGCATGGATAAATTTACCTTGCTTAAAAAAAGCCTGCCATTTCACACAGGTCATCAGGAGCTCTAAGAATAACCCAGGTAAATGTTTCATAGTGATCTGCAGTCAACATTTGGGGGTATATGGAGATGCAAAGTGATTAACAAAACCTCTCCCCTAAACATCAGCYCAGATGGAGGGAAGCATCACATAATTTATCCAACAGGCAAGTTCAATTGCAAAAAGTGAAGCTTGTTTCCAGCTCACTGCCGTGGAGCCACACCCATGTATTTTCTGACAGACTGCAGTGGTTTCATACTCTCAAACTGACACATTGTTAAAATGATTAAAAACAGTCTTAAGTCACTGATAATCACCTGAAAATACAACTGGCAGACAAGCCAACAGCTGGGTTTGAATGGCAGAATGCAGGGGCAGTGACAAAAAAACCCAACAACATGGTAGCACAAACTGCCATCAAACCCAAAACTGCCATAGTCTTTCTCCACAGGTATCTGGCTCAGAAAAAAAACTTTAAAATTACAGTATTCCAAGTAAACACTTTTCACCAAATCTAATCCAATACTAACATCATGTCTGCTCCTTTACTGTTTGAAATACAGCATATTACCAGTAACAGCCCAGCAGGTAAGCTGTCTTCAGCACCAGAGCACCCAAGCAATTAGCAGGTCTGCTTCTTATGAGAAAATCCCCTTTCTGGGATTGCTGCACAATCTGGATCCAGGCCAGAAGTCTCTCCAAGGCACTTGACTAATGGCAGTGCAGGGGCTGCCTGTGCTCAGTGATGCTGTGACCACAAGGCAAGAGGAAGGCAGCCCAGCATTTCCTCTGCCAGCTCCCCATCTGCCTCTCCATGGCCCTGCCCTGTAGGGCCTCGTGTGGCTGCTACACAGCACCGTGTGCTGCACACTGGCCTGGATGCTACTCTCATAAGCAATGCRTTTCTCTAGGAAATTAAATTGCTATGACACCAGAGGTTTGTTCTCTGACTAGAAGGCACTGATTACTAGAGACGTGGAGGATAATACAGTTGTGGCAGAGCCGTGCCTCAGCAATGCACACCCCTGTCATCCAGCTTTCTAAAAGGATTTTCCAAAAGCTACTTTATTCAGTTGTCAATGGAAAGGGCTTTCTAAAGACAAGGAGGAACATATACATGTGCTGTACAGAACTTGGCTGAGGCCAAAGCAAGCAGAGAATGAGACACCAATCTCAGAACAAAGTCTGAGGTGCACAGAACATCCATGTACCCCAAGGGCTTACCACAGGCAAAAAAAAAAAAAAATGAGCTAAGCATAATATTCTAAGATGATATTTAGATTGTCAATTCTACAAAGAGTTGAGCTGGCTACAACTAAAGCAGGGTGCCAGGAGGTGTGAGATCTGCAGGGGTTTGGAAGGATCTGACATTTGTAGGCTTTTTCTTGGGCTGTAACAGAACTTGCATCTCTGCTATCTTTGTCAAAAAAGGAATGACAATCTGCATGAAGGCAGAAGGTTCCTTCTAAACAAGCATTCTTGCTCTTGGGGGCAACCTCAGCTTGCATGAGACAAGCACCTGCATGAGAGACAAAAGACAAGCCCAACTCCACCATAACAAACAGCAAAAAGGCCCTCAAAACCATAGCACAGGAGCCAATCAGTGCCTTGCTGAGACATGAATGTTTAGGGCCAGAAACACAAAAACTGTGTTACTCTGACAGAAAGGAACCACAGCTGACACATACCTGTCTTTCAACACACATCACTCAGCCCTGATGAGCAAACAGTGTGAAAGCACACACAGATGYCACCATACTATTGTCAAACTGCTTGGATTCAGAAGTTATAGAAAGGAAATTAATTACTTATGGCATTTTCTCCTCCAGTCCTTTGAGGCCTAGGGCCATTCTCACAGCCTATGCAAGCCCACAGAGCAGTGTTCAGCAGCCAGGTCAGTCCCACATGTTCCTGTGGAACTAGTCAATCATAGTGGCTCTCCTCATCTTGATAATTCTAGATGCCTCACCTCCAAATATGCAGCYACACTGAATGAGGCCTCAGCAGAGTTACAGGACCTAAACCTACCGTGTCTGGATTGCCCTCCAGCAGCACGTTGATGGCTCTGTTGACATCTCCGTTGCAGTCATGCAGAGCAATCACACACTCGTCCTGGTTCTTGCCTGTGATGTCAATCAGCTGCAGAGAAGACAACACCACAGTCAGCATGTTTCAAACAAAGATGGCACCAAAATCTCTGTGGATCTGTCAGGAGGCAAGCAAGTTGAATCCCAAACCAGAAACCCGTCAACAAAAAAAATGAAGGGCTAGGGAATCTCCCCAGCCTTCTCAGCTAAACTATGTTCCTCAAYAAGAAGTAACAGGGTGTGAATTTTKGAGTTACCATTGTTTCACCACGACCCAACCTACAACCTCCAATTCTCAGGACAACACTGTTATCTGCAGAAACAAATGGAAAGTTCAGCAAGACAAAAGTTGCTGTACCTGTATCGAGGCAAGCCCAAATGCAAACACAGGCTGGAGAAGAAGGATGGAGAGCAGCCCTGAGGAGAAGGACKTGGGGCTGAGTTAACATGCCAGTGCATGCCATGTGCACTGGCAGCCCAGAAAGCCAAAACTGTGCTGGGCTCATCCCCAGCTCCATGGGCAGCAGGTGAGGGGGGGATTCTGCCCCTCTGCTCTGGTGAGACCCCACGTGCAGAGCTGCCTCCAGCTCTGGGGCCCCTGCACAGGAAGGACATGGAGCTGCTGAAGTGAGTCCAGAAGAGGTCACAGGAATGTTCTGAGACCTAGAGCCCCTCTGCTCTGGAGAAAGGCTGGGAGAGCTGGGAGGTGTTGAGCCTGGAGAAAAAAACGCTCCAAGGAAACCTCAGAGYTCCTTCCAGGGCCTAAAGGGGCTCCAAGAGTGCTGGAGAGGGACTTTGGACAAGGAAGGGCCTGGAGAGACAGGATGGGGGGAATGTCTTCACACTGCCAGAGGGCAGGRTTATATAGGCTATTGAGAAGAAATTCTTKTGTGTGAGGGTGGTAAGGCCCTGRCMCACAYTGTCCAGAGAAGCTATGGCTGCCCCATCCCTGGAGGTGTTCAAGGCCAGGCTGGACAGTGTTTGGAACAACTCAGGACACTGGAAGATATAATCATGGCACAGGGGTGCAACTGGATAGCCTTTAACATCCCTTCTGACCAAAATCATTCTATGATACAACTTTATGAAACCAGTCCAAGCAAATTCAGGGTGTAGCCAGGTATGTCCCTCCCACCCCCCAGCATTCACAGTATTCCCAATATTGATCTCGCCTTCCTATTAAGAGTGCACCTTCATTTTCCACACTCACTTGTTTCACCTTCTCCTCAAAGTCAGCATCGTTGTGGTCCGAAATCATCTGTGCAAGTCGAATCTGTTCCGCAGTGGCCTAAAAGAAATCAGAGAGAGCATAACTGCATGGTCAGAGCAATTCTAAACCATCCTCCAAAGGCCATTCTGCTTCCCCAAGTTCTTTGGAAACTCTTGAAAGAAATCAGTATAGAAAAGAGAAGGCACAAACACAGGTCAGAGAAGGAAAACTCCAGTAGATGAAAAAGGAGCAAGAAGAGGAGTCTGGAAGAAAGGATTTACTGTTGAATGGCCTCATGGCACCAGATGAGCAGCAGCCACCCAAAGCACATCTCACCACCACCAGTCAGCCAAGAGCCACTGCAGGTGGCTTCTCAGCCATTTACATTCATTAAAGGGTGTGAGGAATGGACAAATGGAAKTAAAACCAAATCTCAGCAGCAGCTCCCACTTGGACACACTGACATGGAAACCCCCAGCTGCCCAATTCACCCAGCTCTGGCAGCAGCATCTTGTGACACACGGGGAGTTCTTTTGGCAAGCCCAGTTGTTAGCACCAGACCAGGCAGGAGTGCCACATCTCCACCTGAAAGCTACCTGGATTCCATGGATGCTGTCCTTACCTGCGGCCGCTGCTTGTGCTGCGTCTGGCTCTGTGTCTGTGTCTGCTCCCAGTTCCCCCGGGCTCGGTTAGTGCCCACCGATGTCATCATTTACAGTATATACAAATAACAGTATTTACAAGGTTGAACTCTGTGGTGGGTCAGGGGAGAAGAGAGAACGGACTGTTAGAAACCAAAACAAAAAGAYAGCACCAAGACTGAACAAACACATGGGCAATAGAGCCAGAAAGGCTGCTACAGACCCCACCACTCCCCACCACTTCCCTAAAACCACAGTGGACCAGGCTGCCATCACCGTGTGGTCCCAACACAAAACAGCCATTTGTGCTTCTTGAGGTTCCTCTCTCGATACCATGGCAGAGTGTTCCAGGTGGGAGCAACCAGGCCCCAGTAGCAGAAGTAGAATCACAGACTCACAGACCAATTCRGGTTGGAAGGGACCTTAAAGCCCATCCAGTGCCACCCCTGCCATGGACAGGGACAGCTTACACTAGACCAGGCTGCTCCAAGCCTGGTCCAACCAGGAATGGGGCAGCCACAGCTTCTCTGGGCAACCTGTGCCAGGGCCTCACTATCCTCATTGTAAAAAAAACTCTTTCTCAGGCAATCTAGATCGACTCGCCTTCATTCTGAAGTCATTCCCTGGATTTGAGGCAAAGAATTGAGCAACTTGTTGAAACACAAAATAAGTGGGCACAGATTTGCCACAGGCTGTGGCCATCAACTGGAGCAGAAATGCTTGAAAAAAAGCTTCAAAGAAACTTCACTTAGTAGACAGAGTATCTCAGAGCCTCAGACACAGCTACTCAGCAACTTCCCCTTTTCCTTTCTTACCTTCGAAGCAGGGCAGCGGAAGCAAAAATGCTCCAGCAATAAGTGGTGCTACAGGTCTGTGGAATTTTTGTTTTAAAGAAAACCTGCCCTCCTAGAACTGCCTGTTTTTGTTTATTTATATTATTCCCCCAAACTGGAAATATCAAGCTTTTCTTAGTATTCTGTAYTAAAAACATACCAAAAAAAGTGAACAAGATGTCTATAAAGAATAACAGCCAGTAACATTGTTAGATAAATGCCTGAGGCAAAAAATCCCAAGAAGAGTTTGAGTGTCCCAGGCAAGCATTTTTCCAATCTCAGACTGGGCCTCAAGGCAGGGAGTGTTAGAAGGGGATTAGCACTGAGGTTTTACCCTCCCAAGCACCTTCCCAGCACAAAAGATTCAAGAGACATCCCACAGCACTTCTGAGCCCCTGAAATTTCAATAATCACAGAATACAGAAATTTCACAGAATTTTTGTATTTCGTTACTAAGACTCCAAAGCCTTCCCCCAAAACAGCAGGACTTGCTGCGTGCACCTGGACAATGGAAGGAGCCACAGAGTGTCAGGGCAGGGAGAAAAGCTTAGCAAGACAATCTGACCTGCAGGATCTGATCCAAAACACTGCAGTACGTGAGCAAGGCAGGACAGAGCAAAACACAGGGTGCCAAGTAGGGAAACTCAGAAGCAGTGCTAGCAAATAGCCCAGGAAAAGCTGGGGAAACTCCTGTAGAAGTTTGTAAGCACTCGACTGGGTGAGAAATCCTTCCTGAGAGCAGAGAGGCATTAACATCCCCTTTGCACTGGACACACATCCCCCATGCCTGCTCCCCTCAGTGCCTGCCCTTCATTTGTAGGCAAATTTTTGTGCAACTGCTCCTGCAGCTCCCTACAAAACCTCCAAAGTTCCCCCTTTGTGGCCATCTATGCCTCATCTACGCCAATTAACRCCAGTTTTACAAGGTCTCCTATCAAGAAACAATCCAAACTACCTGCAGAGCCATCAGGAGCCCCTGAGGAATGCGGGAAGAACACCAAGCCTGGGCTTCTGCCAAGGCAGAGCAGACAAAGCCCCCTGTCCCCAGCCATCCCCTCCATGCAGGCTTCTTTCTCATGGCATATATTTATTTTTGCTTTCTTCCAGTTCCAAGTTTCACACACAAACAATTTGTTGCATTTAACCAACCTGGCAGCAGAACCACAGGCCCAGAGGGAAGTGATTCCACACATCTGTAGGAACCCAGCCTGCAACTTCCCTGAGCTGCAGTTCCAGGCGAGTTTAAACCTTGTGCAGTGCCCAGGCATCATTCAGCAGCTGCCATACCCTGCCCAGCTGCATTGCTGCCACCAGCAGCACGAGCATTTGTCCTTTAACATGCAAAAAAACCCAAGAAAAATATCTACAATAAAAACCTCACCCAGGCTCTCAYTCTGCTGAGGCCATCAGGTAAGGGGGTGACCCATGCAGACCCCTTGAGGAAAGAGGATTCAAATACTGATAACTTATTCCACAATGGGGGTACTTGAGATGAGCTCATGAGCAGCACTGAACTGCAGAACRTGGTTATCCCAATGTCTATCCTGGCCCCACAGCTGCACATGAGTTTCCCAGATCAAAACCATCCTCACCGAAAACATTTCACCTCTTTTAAAAGAGCAAAYCTGCCCACGTGCACCAAGAGGTGAAAGGGCAGCTCCAGCCAAAGCAAGTGGTGACCAGTCCACACTGGAGCACCAGCATTAAATGGGGCAGTGCTCACACCTCAGGARAACAGGCCAGCACTGCACTCAGGGCTTAAAGAAAACAAAAAGTTTCACAGCTACAGGTTACAATACCCGCATCAAATAAGGCATTTGCCGTTTCCCCCTTTCCTTCTCAGACCACATCACYGCCTGTCTGCCAGGCCTAAAGAGGAGAGTCTCAACTACACAAGTGAAGTGTGGAGTCTCCAGAAAATGAGGGGATACAAAAATGTAACAAACTGTTCATTTTATTAGAAAYGTCAGGTAAGTTACAGTTTCAGTACCAGGATTTGTAGGCCCCATGGCTGTGCCAGGCCTGCTGGCTGCCACTCCATGAGCGCTGGCACATCCCAGTCTCAGTTTCCCTGATGTGTTAATACAGAGAAATGGTATTTTTTCATCTCATTCCGACAAAGCTTAATTAACACGTGCAAAAAGCTCCAGAGCCCCAAAGGAAAGTGCCAGAGAAGGCAAAGCTTTCCCTGCAACATGGGGCAGAAAAAGAATCCAAAAGAGGGTTATCAGTGTGAGAAGTTTTTCCCCGGAGCAAAGACATGGCGGCCGCAAACCGAGTCACTCCGTGCATGCAAAGCACGAGCTTTTAGGGAGATGCTCCCGCAGATGCCATCAGAGCCCCCGACTTGTTATCGACGGGCAGCGCTTTACCAGGGAGACTCCCGGGCCGGAGGGCGCAAGCAGAGCCCCCAGACCGGGATGGAGGGRCGTGGAGGAGGGCGGCATTCGCGGGCCGGGGCTCCTCCAGGACCCCTGAACCGCCCGTTGCCCGGGAATTTTACGAGGGCATCAAAACCACCCCGGCCACGGCCGCCGGGGCGTCACCGAGGAGCGGCGGCAGCAGCGGGCCCGACGGCCCGCGAGGAGCCCGGCAGRGCGGGAGCACGGCTCCCATTGTTACCGCCGGCAGCGGCGGGGACGGGCGGGCCCCGAGAGCGCGGCAGGGTCGGAGCCGCCCGACCCCGCGGCCCAGCACACGGCACACAATGGGGCGACGGAACCGGAGCGAACTGGAGGGCGCCGGCGGGGCCGGGAAGGAGCCCCCACGGCGGCGCCAGGCCGGGCCCACAACGGAGAGGCGGGCGAGTTCGGGCCGCTTCCGCCCTCATGGCCGCGGCCGCCATTTCACCCCCCCCGCCCGCACCCGGCCCGCCCGCCCGCCCGCCTCACCTGCGGCGGCCGCGCGCTACGCCAGCCCCCGGCTACGGCCCGGCCCACTAGGCCGCGCGGGGCCCAGCGGCGGCGGCGGTGGGGCTCAGAACCGCCTCCGGGGCACCGGGCGCAGCGGGGCCGAGCGGGCGGGAGGCGGCGGGGCCGGGCTAGCAGGGGGCGGCGGCGGGAGCCGGTGGGGGCGGGTTCGGGGGCCGCGCGGTACCGGAGCCGCCGCCGCCGCCGCCGCAACTTTACCTGGGTCCGCCCGCACTGACAACTCCCCCGACCCCGCCCCCAGCACGTGACCAGGCGGGGCGGGGCCGCCCGCGCCGAACACGTGACGCAGGCGGGGGGCGCTGCGGCGGCTCCGCGCGCGTCACGTGATCAGGGCTGCCCCCGGTCACGTGGTGCGGGCGCAGGGCGGCTTCGTGGCCGCCATGTTGTGCGGCCCCGGGCCGGGCCGGGCATGGCGGGGGCCGGCAGCAACTGGCTCTCGGGGGTCAACGTGGTGCTGGTCATGGCTTACGGCAGCCTGGTGAGGGCCGGCGGGGCGGGGCGGGGCGGGCTGGYGTGTYTGTGYGGCCCGGGGTGTCCGCGGAGCCGGGCCGCGCGAGTCCGTGGAACCCCCGCGAGGCGGATCCTGGCGCGTTCGGGCCCGGGCCCGAGGAGTCCGTAAGGCTCCCGTGAGACGTGTTCCGGACTGTCTGTGAGGAAGGCCTCGGAGTCGGGTTCGGGGCCCTTAAAGGGCTGGGCTGGAGCGCGTGTGGGTTCCTGGGGTCGGTGGGGCGATGTGAATAACAGCCTCTATAGRGATTGGGGGTGTGTAGGACCAGCCTGGGTGTTGTGGGGCTCCTGGTGGGCTGAACAGAGATCCCTGTGTTCTCCAGGCTCAGAGGGGATAAGTGGGGGCCAGGGCCTGGCCACAGGCTGTCTGTGAGGCCCCCGGCACATGCCTGACTCCCACCCTACTGTGGCTCCTCAGGTCTTCGTGCTGCTGTTCATCTTTGTGAAACGSCAGATCATGCGCTTCGCCATGAAGTCCCGCCGTGGCCCCCACGTGCCYGTGGGACAGCACGCGCCCAAGGTGGGTATCCTCCCTTCCCTACACCCACAGACTCACCCATGCCTGAAGGGATGGGTGAGAGCTGCTCCAGTGTCAAATCTGCCCCCTCAGAATGGCAATGGGCAGTGGGGAGGGAATGGTTTATCTAGAGCCTGTTCTCATCCTTTTGATCCCACAAAGAGAACGCTCTGGAAACGTGCTGGGTTTTTTCCTTCTGTACAGGATTTAAAGGAAGAGATTGACATTCGCCTGTCAAGGGTGCAGGACATCAAATATGAGCCACGGCTGCTCGCTGAAGATGATGGCCGACTCCTGCAGCTGGAGACACCAGGTACTGTCCTAGAGGTACCGTCCCTGGGGCYAAGTCACAGCTTTGACTGCTCATGTAGYGTCCTGTCACATGRGATGGTGTCTCTGCTTCTATTTTCTTTTTTCTYGTTTCCCTCCCAAGGTTTGCAGAGATGTCAGTTTTTTGCTTTCCCTTTAACAGGCTGCTATAACTACCTGTACAGGATGAAGGCACTGGATGCAATCAGGACATCAGGTAAGGAAGCTCAGGGCCAAAGTGGGAGCAAAAGGGTGCAGACAGATGCTGAACGAGGGTGCCAGCAGYTCTGTGGGGAGGCTCCAGGGGCTCACTGGGGAGTAGCAGTCACTTCTCCTTCTCACAACCCTCAGCTGGTAGCCTGAGGGTTGGCACAGCCCTTTTCTGGGGCAGTTGGCAAATGGAGRTAGTGGGCATGGATGGAATTTTATCCAGCCAGCAGTTCCTGACCATGGGGATGAACACCATCATTTTTACCTGCGCTTCAGCTGTTGCGTTGTGCCTTTTTCCAGAAATCCCATTTCARGCAGAGGGCCGGTACCCCAAGTCTTTAATAGGGAAGAATTTCTGTGCCTACCTGCTGGAACTGCGGAATTCCAGCACCTCCTTCAAAGGCATCCGCAAAGCCTTGATCGACACTTTGCTGGATGGCTACGAGAGCGCCCGCTATGGCACTGGGGTGAGTGCTGGGGGGGCACTGCCACCCTCACAGGGCCTGCAGATTTGCTCTGCCCTGCTGTCGGGACTGAGGTCACACCATAACTTGAGCTGGATGTTCCATGGTCTTTTTATATCCAGGTCTTTGGGAAAATGGAGTATCTGAAGTACCAGGAAGCTCTGAACGAGCTGGCAAACATGTAAGTGCTGCTGCCCAGGTGTGGTGGTGGGTTTCTGGGCCCCAACAGGCCGTGTGTGACCAGAGATGGGTTTTGGGGTACAACCATCATCTGAGATGGGGGCTGAGATGTGCCCATCTGTCCTGCTGGGTTCACTCCTTCCTAGCCCATCTCTTACTGCAGTTTTGGGTTTGTTCCRTGGTCACAATCTCCATTCCTGCTTGTCCTTGGCCACTTTGAGTCAGGAGCTTGCACAGARCCACTGGCCTTAGCTTTTGAGAGCTCAGTGAGCACCATCATCACAAAAGCAGATTTGCTTTGTGTTGGACAGACAGATACACAGGCTGAGTGGTTTCTCAGGGCCAGCAGCAGCAGTGATGGTTCATCTTCTCTGCCCACAGGACCAAGGCCCGGGGGGGCAGCAGCCAGCGGCAGCACCAGTCGGCAGCGAAAGACCTCACCCTGTCCCCTGAAGTCTCCAACCCTGCCACCATCCAGGTCACCTACCTGCCTTCCAGCCAGAAGAGCAAACGTGCCAAACACTTCCTGGAGCTGAAGAGTTTCAAGGACAACTACAACACACTGGAGAGCACCCTGTGAGCGTGKTGGAGCCTGGTGCAGTGCGTTTGCTGGGCATGTCTGGGCCGCAGTGCAGGCAGCAGTGAGAGCCACCAACTGTGCTCTCAGATCTCACCCTCACACCACGTTGGAGGTCAACACTCAGTGGAGACTCCATTCCAACTGCTGGGGCTTGGCCCCCACCAGGTGCTCATTCCAGAGCTGTGTACCTGCCTGCTGAGCCTGTGGGGATCAGCCCCACAGCCTTCTCTGCCACAGGCTGGTGACACTCCAGGCTTTGTGTCCTGCACCGTCTTGGACCTTGTGAATAAACTGATGAGCTTGACCTTATTTATAAAGACATGGATCCCAGCCAGCGCTCCCTTCCACGCACCTTTCCCTGCAGCAGCTGGCGGGGACTGATGTCTGTCTGTCCTGTCTGTGTGGGTCTTGGGCACTGGAGCCACTTGTCTGTTTTTTTTCCGAAGGGTGAACACTTTTCCCTGTGACCTCATTGTTCCTGCTCTCAGCCCTTTGTGCCCAGCCTGCCTGTGCACCCGGACGGGGTAGAAATAGTTTGGTGCCCGTTTTTAGCACCATGGCTGAGCTACCGCTTTGGGCTGAGGTTTCTACTCGTTCTCCTGCAACCGGGCATTTGGGGACATCTCAAGTGGACAAAGCAGTGTCAAATGTCCCGTCTGTCCTGCCAAGGGGGTGTTTGCTCCCACTCTCACCAGCGCCTCGCATGCCAGCGTCTGCCGAGCCCCCGGGGCTGAAAGCTCATGGCCCCCACCTCGAGTCTGCATTCTGTTGGGCTGAGGGCAGCGCCAGCAGCTCACCCATCAGTGTGGTGTGGGTGGCACAGAGTGGAGGGCACAGACCTAGCACAGATCTCGGCACTTTTTAATTACTGTTTAATAAAATGACAGTTCAGCCCGAGCTGCATGCGTGCGTGCCACCGGCTTCTGCAGGGGCCCATCCCTACTCAATCCCAGGCTGCTTCCTTCCCGAAGCAGCTACAGAGTAACCAGGATGCCTTTAGTGGTAGCCRGGATGCTGCCGTTTGTAACTGAGATCCCGTGACAGTAACCGGGAGGCTGTTACTGTAACCAGGCTGCCGTTGCTGCTGCCGTGTTCCGTTAACACCTTGCCYGCCCCAGAGGCCATTGAAGGGTCACTGTGGCCGCGGCCATGGCAGTGCCAAGCAGCCAGAGCTCCTCACTGCAGCAGGAGGAGGTCAGACGGGGCAGAGGTTGGGAAGGTGGAAACTGTCCTGGGGYTCCTGGGAGCAGGCGGGGGGCAGTGGGCTGTAGTGTGTCCTGGTGCAGGTTAAACCCCAGGCCATCCAAACGTGCTCTTTGATTGCAGGTCCAAACGAATGCTGGCACGAGGCTCGTGGAGAGGTAGAGCCGGCAAAGAGCCCTGGGGGGGCTGAATCCCCCATGGTGGGCGTCTGCGAGATATGGGGAGCCCTAGCACAGAACAGGCTGGGGGGAACATCCCTGCATCCCTGACCTGCCCAMCCTGTGTCTCCATAGCTGGGAGCAGGGGATCAGGGAGCTCCCACAGTGCTGGGCAGAGTCTCGTGGGGTGCTGCAGTGGGTCGTGGAGCCACGGGTGAAGAAGTGTGTGGAGAAGGAGCTGCACTTCGCAGGCAGGGAGCAGACAGTGGTGAGGATGGGCATTGGCTGGGTGCAGCTGGGACCCCAGCYGTGTGCTGCCAGGGGTGGGTGCCCCTCTTGTCCAGCTCTACTATGTCCTGGGGGACAATGTCTCCCAGTGCTGGTGAGCCAGGGGGATGTGGGGGTTCAGCACAGCCCCTGTACCTGGCAGATCCGCCGAGATGCCCTGTACCAGCTTCTCCTGGATGAGCACCAGCAGCACCAGCAGGAGCTGTGCCAGCTGGGGAAAACCTTCTACGTGGAGCGGCTCTGAGTGCTCAGCCCCGTGCGTGGCACTGGCCTGGCATCGCCCAGTTCCTGGCTGAGAATAAAACGTGTTGAGCAAGACAGGCTGTGTCTGCTGCCTGTGAGGCGTGGGACAGCCCAGGGCAGCAGTGGGGGGACAGTGCAGCCCAGCACAGTTCCYGTGGCTGGGATCCAGGCATGTCGCCTGCAACCCTCGGTGTGCCGAMTCCTGCACACTTCATCTCGCCCATGGCTGCGCCAGGAGATGGCAGCACAGCCAGCGTGCCTCACCAGATTGGGTGCTCCACACTGGGTCCCTGTCCCAGCACAGGTCCTGCTGTGCCATGCCGTGTGCCACAGTGCTCCTGGCCATGTGGCACAGCCCTGCAGCAGTGGGGAGAAGAGCCTGGCTGGGCTGGGTGCAATGCTCCCTGTCCCCACTTGCCATCCAAGCACCCCAGGATCCCTGTCTGCTCCCCAGCTGGGAGGGCCCTGTCCCCCACCTCCCATCCCTGCTGCCTGTGCCTGACCTTGGTGTCTCCCGGCCCCAGGGCCCATCAGTGGCTGCCCTGGCTCTGCTTATTGACAGGGCTGGGGGCCTCTGGGCCGGCACCCCCCGCCCATGGCCCTTCATTAGCTCAGCTGTCGGGCTGCATCACATCATCCACTGCTGCTCGCAYGCCCCCGGCTCTGGCACTGCTGCTGCCACGTGTGTCCCCACCGTCCCCACTGCCACCTCATTGTGTGGCCACCTCAAGGGGCTGAATCCCCTGACCCCCAAGRCCAGGCTGTGCCCCTGTCCTTCCCATGGCACTCAGGGCTCTGGCTGSCCCATGTCCTGTTCCATTGTTCCCCCAAAGCTTGAGACCCCAAGTGCCATTCTTAAGGCCGTTCCTAAGGCTGATGTGTCCCCCTGCAGCAAAGCGCTGCTGTGGTGTGGGGAGGATGTGCCTGCAGCACTTCAGGATAATCTTACCTGTCCTTGTGGCTGGACTCCACCACCCTGATCCCAATAACTACCTCAGTGTGGGCCAAGGTCCTGCTTCTCACCCAGCATGAGTGGGGCCACATCCTCAACMTGGATGCAGCAGGGTGACAGGCAGCCCCTCCAGCTGCTCCTTGGAGGAGATACTCCCATGAGTTCTAGCAGCTCCCCCAAAGCAAGGGGGTGTGGGGTACAACTCCCACGTGTCAATGGGGCTCGTCCTTGGGCAGGGTCATGTGGAGCCCCTTGGTGGCACAGGGCCCGTGGGCCAGGGCTGGCCCCCAGTATTGACAGGCTCGCTAATGACGGCGAGTGTGACCGGGGGCAGGAGCAGGCGGTGCGGGGCCATCGATCCATCGACCATCGGTGCTGGGCGCCAAGGGCGCGGGGGTCTGTGGAGGGGGCAGGGGGACGTCAATGGGTGGTAATTAATGGGAACCAGGCCACGTGTGCGGGGCCAGGGCTGTCGCTGGCCACGTCCCCCCGCTGGGTGCAGCCGAGCGCGGTTATAAATGGCAGCCGGGCGACCCCCGAGCCAGAGCGCAGCCGAGTCCCCTGAGCCAGCCCAGGTAAGTGAAACGGTGATGGATGTGGGGTCCCCTTGGCCCTGGGTGGGCAGCGCTGCCGCCATGGTGTGCCACGCCATGCCAGTGCCATATCGTGCCAGGAAACCGTGCCTGCACTGCCCTGCTCTGGCTTCATCCCCACCACAGGACGCCTCCTGCTCCAGCACTGCATCCCGAGCAGCTCAGTCCCAGCACAGTTGCCCAGCAGGCTCCAGGCACTGAGGTGAGGCCAGGCGCTGCCTCTGCAGTGCCTCGGGGGTTATGCCTGGGTACCACCCCCACCCCAGCTCTCAGCTTTTCCTTCTCTTTCTCTTGCAGGCAGCTAAGCTCCGGGTCCTCCCACCTCCGTCAGCCCCTGTCTCTGTCTGATATGTTTGATATTAGGTTGTTTTATTGGAAAACCAACTAAATATCAAACATATTCTTACAGCGCCAGGGACGCCCAGCACCGACTTGGCCAGATGCTGCCTGTGCCCTGCCCCAGGCAGGGGGGGCCTTCTGCACCCTGTCCTGCACCTCCTGCTGCAATAAAACCTGTCTGCCTATCTCCATGGGRCTGGAGAGGGGGAGCCCAGAGCCATCCCGGGGGTTGGCGGAGGTTTGGGATGGCAGCGGGGTCAGCGCTTGCCACCTGTCCCCCCGCTCACGCCAGGGATGATGACAATACAAAGGCCCGTGGCCCTGTGCCCACCACTGCCTCTGCTGCCCTGGCGTGGGGGGTTATTTATGGAGGTGCAGCCACTGCTCAGGACCCTCGGTGGGCACTGTTGYCCCAGTGCCCTGCCCAGGATGCCAGGAGCTACCATCAGGTCTCTCTCCCGTGGGTTCCCTGGGTGCTGACCCCTTTATTCCTCAGCGTCTGTCCCTGGGTGGGAGCAGTGGGTCTCTTCCATGGGAGACCCTAACCTGACTTATGGGGCTGRTAGGACCTCTGGGCCAGCACGAGGAGGCTGCAAATCCCCCAGCTGTGGATGAAGTACTACCAGTTGCGCTGAGAATTCCTCCCCACACCTGGGGAATCTGCTCCTCCAGCTGCCAACAGCATCCTCTACCTCAACACCAAGCACCAGCATGGCTTTAGCTGGACTCAGGGCTCAGTGGGCTCCTGGTGGGGATCAGCAGGCTCCTGGGGGTGCTGGGCACAGTTTCCCTTGCTGCTCCCTGCAGAGCCAAACACTCTTGGCCAAACCTCTGCTCCCAAAATAGTGCCAGGCTAATCTCGCCCTTTTCCATGCTGCYCCCCAGGCAAGGCTAAATGTCAGCCCAGGGCCACCAAGATATCCTAAGCCCCCAGTGGAAGGCAAATGGSGGGTGGAGGTGGACTTGGTGCCAGYGCTGCACGGACTGAGTTTCAACATCCCGAGGAAGCGCTCGTGGCACCAGCCAGGGTGTCCCATTGCATGGGGGGAGGGGATAGCTGGGACAATGCAGGACCCCTTCTCACAGACCTGCTGCTGCTTTTTATAACAACCCAGCTGTCCTTGGGAGCCCAAATAAGGCTGTGCCCACCCGGACCCCCCGGGGTGCACAATGGGTCCCGAGCACAGACTTTTTGGGAAGGTGGGGAGGCGGGTCAGCCCAAGAAAGGCAAAGCCCCTGTTCGGGGCAGAGCTGATAAATGGTCAGTGGGGCACAGGCAACACAGCTGCCCTGCCCACCCATTGTCTGCCCTGCATCCCGCTGCCCACCRCTGCGTGTGTCTCAGCAAGGATGGAGGCCATCAAGAAGAAGATGCAGATGCTGAAACTGGACAAGGAGAATGCCCTGGACCGGGCGGAGCAGGCAGAGGCTGAGCAGAAGCAGGCAGAGGAGCGGAGCAAGCAGGTAGGGCAGGCAGCCACGGCCCTCWGCTCAGAGGTGCTGGGGGGAGGCTTCTGCCCGTGCTGGGTCACGCTGAGCCCGCACCCAACACAGATCTGCTTGGGGTATCACAGTGAGACAGCTGCCACCATCCCACAGCTCAAGGGCACCCCAAGGGCTGTCCAGGGCTCTGTCCCTGCGAGCTGGTGGGATGTGGGAAAAGGACAGACACTGTGGGGCACAGCTGGTCCCAAGGATGGGGCAGGAGGGATGCTGTGGGAACAGAGTTGAGCCTGGGATGGGGCAGGCAGGGCTCTCTTGGAATGCAGRGGGCCAGAGTGGTATCCACAGTGGTGACACCACTGTCCTTGCAGCTGGAGGATGAGCTTGCTGCCATGCAGAAGAAGCTAAAGGGGACAGAGGACGAACTGGACAAATACTCTGAGGCCCTGAAAGATGCCCAGGAGAAGCTGGAGCTGGCAGAGAAGAAGGCGGCGGACGTACGTATGGGGTGCAGGGTGGAAGCTGAGCACTGCCCTCCCCTCATTTGTCCTTTTGGTGGGACTTCAGCCCTTCCCTATGCCTTGGGGACACAGGAAGGTCCCTCTCTGGCTTAGTGTGCTCCTGATAAAGCTGTGTAGGTTTCTAGGAGCAGAGAATGGCCCTGGGAAGGATGTATTTGGAGGGCAGAGCCGGGCAGCAAGCAGCCCCTCAAGWGCAGGACGTGGGGTTCCCGTGTCCCCAGGAAGCTCTGAGTCACGGCTGGGGGTGGGGGAACCGAGTTCCGAGAAGGAGAAGGAGGAGGAGGGAGCCCTCATCCCCCTGCGGGTGGAGGCGCACGGGCAGCAGCGTGAGCATTGCACAGCCCGGCTATTGTTGTCCGCTGTCTCCAGGAAAACAATGGTGCGAGCGGTGCAGGGTTTCACCCACTGGCCGCTCTCCTGTCATCACAAGGCATGAGGCCCCGCTCATCACCTGCCGGGACCTGGCAGGCAGTCCTTGTGGGGCCAGAAATGTCTCAGGGTCCRGTGTCGGGGCAGTGCAGCCCAGTTCTGTCACAGAGGAGGCAGGAGCTGTCCTCTCCCACTGGACCCGTGGGGAAATGCCCTCACTGGAAGCTCTGGAGCCCTGGGACTTTTGTCACCCTACAAATGTGACACTCTCACTGGGAGCTCTCGAGCCCTGGGACTTTTGTCACCCTACAAATGTGACACTCTCACTGGGAGCTTTGGAGCCCTGGGACTTTTGTCACCCTACAAATGTGACACTTTCACTGGGAGCTTTGGAGCCCTGGGACATTTGTCACCCTACAGCTTTGCTTGCAGGTCCCTGTTGCCAGCCCTGCACTGGAATCAGCTTGTGTAGAGTGCACCATGGCAGAGCTCTAGGAGCCCTTTCCCTCCCTCACAGCCTTCTTGCCTCCCTCTGCTCCTTGTTGGCATTTTCCCCGCTGTCTGTCACCAGAACCCCATTTGGATCCCTCTCTGTGCACCCGGAGCCCCTTTTCCTGACTAACCCTCCCCACTCACAAGGGTGGCCCTTGAGGGTCTCCCAGTTCCCCCCTGGCTCTGGGAAGTGGAAGGATTTTGCACCCTGGAGCGTTGAAAGAGCAGAGCTGCCTCCCAGGTGCTTCCAGCCCAACACAACCCTTTTCATTCCCACCCCATCCCTGGAAACGGGCCGTGCCATATGTGCCACCACAGGCAAACACTCCTGCAATGTCTGSCACCTGCCCTGGCAGCCTGGAGCCTTTCCCTTCTATCCAAGTGCTTGAAGCATCGGCTTGGTGGGGAATGAGAGCAGTAACAGGGCTCAGTGATGTGTTTATTGAGCTCTTGCGGGGCTCCATCACCCTTCCGACACTGACGAGCTCTGAGGAACGCTGATCTCCGCAGCGTTACCTGCCCTGCCACGGGAAGGTTTTTGCGCCTCGGCTCAGCCTGTCGCACCACCGGCATTGGGCACATGGAAGCGGAGCGGGAKCCTGGCCACCACAGCCCCGTCCCTGCGCCGAAGGAGGGAGCGGGATGAGCAGCGGGGCTGTGGGATGCTGGCCCCGGTAGGGCCTGGGGGTTCTCCGGGGGTGGCAATGCCCGAACCCACGGCCGGGCCGTGCCTAAATGCAGCCGGCGGAGCTGAGAGGTCACGGAGCGGGGTGGGTGTGGGGCCAAGCCGGGACCACCGGGTGCCCGGTCCCGGTAACGTATGGGGCCGCTCGCAGTGTCCCCCCGCTCGCCTGGGGCCGGTCCCGGTGCCTCCACGCCCATATGGGGCGGGTGCCGGTGTACCCAGGTGTCCGTGAGGCAGACCCCGGTGTTCCCCTCCGTCCAGCTGCCGGTGCCACGTTCCCGTGTGTCCCCCTCCCTGTGCCGGTGTTCCCGCTGGAGCCGGTGCCGGTGTTCCCGCTGGAGCTGGTGCCGGTGTTCCCGCTGGATTCGGTGCCGGTGTCCCCGCCACGCCCCGGGGGATACATCTCCTCATCTCCCCGGTAACGCGGGCGCGGAGCGGAAGTGACGTCACTTCCGGCCGGCCGTTCCGGGCGCGGTCCCGGTGTCTGGGGGTGGCGGGGTTGGAGCGGAGGCACCGAGCATGGCCGGGGCCACCACCATCGAGGCGGTCAAGCGCAAGATCCAGGTGCTGCAGCAGCAGGCGGACGATGCGGAGGAGCGGGCGGAGCGGCTGCAGCGGGAGGTGGAGGCCGAGCGCCGCAACCGCGAGCAGGTACCGGCGGGGCCGCCGCGCTGCGGCAGAGCCCGGGGCCGGGGCTCGTTCCGAGTGCTGGCGAGAGCTCGGGGTGTCCGCTGGGATGGGGCTGGGAGCGGCTGGGACAGCTCGCTCTGTGTGTGTGGYCCTCTCTGGATCCCCGGGACGCGCCCGTGGTGCCGAGCAGGCAGCGAGGCCGCGGGGATGGGCCGGTCATTGTTCCGCCGTTCCCGGTGTCCCGGGACTGACAGCGSCCGGGGTGGACCCTGCCGGGGGAGGGGGAGGCCCCGGCCATCTTGTGCATCCCCGAGCCCGGAGCTGCGCGGGTAAGATGGAAGGAATGAGCGGGCTCCCTCGGGATGTGGCCAGCGCAGGAGCCCTCCCGAACTCCACATCCTGCCCGAGTCCCGGCCAGCGGGGCTCTGCGCTGCCGTGACACCGGGAACCGCGGGGAAAGGCAGGGCCACATCACACCGGGAACCGCGGGGAAAGGCAGGGTCACATCACACCGGGAACCGCCTGGAAAGGGGACACATCCTGCCCGAATCCCGGCCAGCGGGGCTCTGCTCTGCCCCTGACACCGGGAACCGCGGGGAAAGGCAGGGTCACATCCTGCCCGAGTCCCGGCCAGCGGGGCTCTGCTCTGCCGTGACACCGGGAACCGCGGGGAAAGGGGACACATCCTGCCCGAGTCCCGGCCAGCGGGGCTCTGAGCTCCCCTGACACCGGGAACCGCGGGGAAAGGCAGGGCTCGGGCTGGGCTTGTCTGGAAGGCAGGAAGGAAGGAGCAACGATGGCAGCATCTAAGCTCGCTCGCATTCACCGCAGGGCTGTCAACACCGGAAAGATTGGGGACAAGGATGAAGTGACACGAGCGAGACCTCGTGGTGGCCCGGCTCCCTTGGGTCTGGGATACAGGCGGCGTTTTGGGGACAGGCGTGGGGTGACACGGGGCAGGTCCTGGCTCGAATCTGAGCGTGGCTCTCGTGGAATTTGCAGTGCTTTTGCTGCGTTGGAAGCGTGAAACTGAGCCCTTCCCCCTCAGTGCCCGAATCCGTGTCGGTGACAAGGCTGTGGCATTGCTGGGGGATAGATCGGGTGCTGCTGCCCAGGTCCATGGCAGAAGCTTTTGCCACTCCCAGGCCTCAGCTGGGCTCTTTTTTTCGCAGCCACATAAGGAATTCTCCTTGCAATAGCAGCATTGTCACGGGTACAGGCGTGTTTCTCCCAGCTCCCTGCACCTCCTCCAGGGGAGAGAACCGGTGCTCCCAGTATGGCTCCCAGGGCTTTTCTGGGTCCTGGGGAGTCCTYTTGAATCTCTTGGAGAAGCAATGGTGAGTCCTGAAGGCCTGAATAAGCTTTTTGTTTGGCCTGGGTGCTCCCTGTTTCAGATCTTTCTTCCTGAAAGAAGCATGCAATAACAGGAATGTGCCACTTGWAGCAGGGGTGTCTGGAAGAATCACCTGGAAGTGCCACCCCTTGCTCTGGGAAAGCCTGACAGTTTCATCTGAATCCAGGGAGCAGCAGCAGAACAGGAGGTGTAAGGGCTCTTCTGCAGCAGGGGGAGAGGCACTTCCTCAAAATTAAGGGTGGTTTCTGCGTGGGTTGAGCACTGCCTGCAGGAAGTCAGGGCTAAGTGATACAGTTCAGAGGGTCAGGAAGTGGAGGCTAACTGCACTGGTGTGTCTCCATCCCCTGGGAGATGGAAAGAGGAGGTCCTCCACCTCAACATTTGGTTGCCCCTTTAACAGGGAAAAGATGTGTGTCAGGAGGTCTCCTCCCCAGTTCTGTTTACGGTATTGTTGTGTTCCTCTTCAGGCAGACCACTTCCCCTCTCAGGAGGGCGGGTGTTGACTGTGGGCACCAAAGGGGTGTGGACTTTTCCAGTGAGGAGCTGGGTGTATGTGCATTGTCTTGGAACCTGCCAGGGGGTGGATGCCTCAGTGGCAGCTGAGAGAAGAGCTTGGACAGCCCCTCTGTCCAAGAAACAGGATGTGACCAGTGTTGGGCCCCACTCTAACTAACACTGGTGCCTTTCGTCACTCTCTGCTCCTCCCTCCCAAGGCACGGTGAGGGGCACTGTGGCCATGTAGGCTGCTTTGTTATGTGCAGCTGGGATTTTTCATGTCTGTCTGGCATTTGCCTGGGCCCTGGCAGAAGACCTTTGCAGAATATCACAGTGCTGCCCTGGAATAGCTGCACTCCTGCCTACCTTTGTAGTCCTGTTGGGGAGCAGAATTCTGGGCTCCCCTGGGGGCTGTGATGGGGTGTCAGTGTTTCTGAAGCATYTGGGCTTCCCTGGGCTTTGGCAGGAGTGGATGTGGCTATAAGCAGGGGCCTCATGGACAATCAGGTATCCCAAAAAGATTACAGCAAGTCTGTAGTTGACTGTTTAGTCTGGGTCTGATCCGGGAGAGGAGTCCCACTGAAGTGATTTTCATGCTTGGCCTTGAGGTGCTTTGTTTTCAGCAATACTGAAGGGCAGTTCCTGCCCTCTGTATCTGCCCTGGCTGCATTCTGCCTCAGTGCTGGAGCAAGCCACAAGGTGATGGCAGTCTGTATTGCCTTACTGAGCACAACCAGGCTCTGCCACATGGGTGAGGAACTGAGACAAAGCTGCAGGGTCTGTGTTCCCCACYATCTCTGTTGCCAGCACAGCACCATAGGGGCTGGCTTGTACCTTGTGGCCTCTTTGAAGGCTGACCAGGACACAGATTGCAGTGGTTGAGGAATGGGATGGCCTCTGATCTATGCTGGTTCCTTAAAGCCTCAGTCACATTTGGGTCACATTTGGGTCACATTTCTGGCAAATGTCTGCATGCTGTCAGTAGTTTCACCAGCTCCCAATGTGTTTGACTGAGCCAAGGTAGCTGTTGCTGGGGAACAGCCTCCTCAACCTGGCCTTTGCTCCTTCTCTGGATTTTCAGTTAGTCTCTGGGAGAAAGGAAGGAAGCCTCAAGCACTACAGGCTCTCTGCTGGGGCTGTGGGCACTGAGCACAAGGCTCTGGGTTGGGCAGTACCTGTGGCCAGCCCAGCCTGGCAGCACCCAATGCAGCTTGGCACATCCCTGAACCTGTTAATCCTTCTCACGTTGCTGGTGAGAGGGTTTGCCTGAAGCAATGCTTGTGTCCAGATCACACGAGTAAACTGACTCTGTGCTAAGTGGCAGCTGTCACCACGCTCTGGTGTGGTGGATAAACAGGGCCGTGATGGATGGCCTGGCAGGATCCCAGCAGCTGCAGAGGCATCCCTTGGTGTGAGTAATCTCCTTAGTGTTTATGGCTTAAACTGTCAGAGCAGCACAGGCTGACAGCGAGAAGCCTGCAGGAGAGCTGCTGTGTGGACAAAATGTGCAGGAAGAGTTGCAGAACTAAACGTGCTGCATGTCTTTGGGAGAGTGGCTAAAGCACCATGGCTTTGCTTTGTGCTCCCATGTTCAGCTGCCCTTCCTGAGCTGCTGAACTGCACAGGCTGAGTGTCCCCTCTGCTCCCTCCAGGCTGAGGCAGAAGTGGCATCTTTGAATCGCCGTATCCAGCTGGTGGAGGAGGAGTTGGACCGAGCTCAGGAGCGCCTYGCCACAGCTCTGCAGAAGTTAGAAGAGGCAGAAAAGGCGGCGGATGAGAGTGAAAGGTGAGCAAGGGGCTCCTGCTCACACTCTGTSAAACTTTGAGGGCCTGGTGCCATCAACTTTTTGAGCTTCCCGGAGTGGGGGAGGAGATTCCACATCAAGGCTGGAGGTGGGAGTTGGTGCCTACTTAGGCAGAGCAGCTMAAACAATGCTGATGAGTGTCTTGGAACCTGAGGCTGCTGATGGCCTTGAGTATCCTGGAATCTGAGGCTAGGAGCAAGGAAGTGCTGTGTGCCACCATGCATCCCCATCTCCAGAGGAGGAGAAAGAAATGAGTTCATTGCCTTGTGAAGATGCCTGCTGGTGGGGCAGCATCTCTTCTGTCTGCCTCTGCCAGCATCCTCTCTAACTGGCCGATGGCCCCTGACCTGGCCTGTGATTCAGAGGGGAGTGGTCCACTTCCATCTGGCTGATGTGCTTCCTTATGCACACACTGAACAGCCAGACCTGAGCTGGTGGCCTGCCACAGAGATAGACTTGGCTCTTCCTGCATTCCAGATGGGGAAGTGCTTGACTTGGCTGTGCTGAGTCCCTGAGACAGCCAGGCATGTTATTCTCAGCATCACTGCGTTTCCCTTGGATGGGRAGCCCAGTGCTGGAGAAATATTCCWAGRAACAGTTAATTCCAAGCAATTGWGGTCGCTGTATTCACATCAGCCCAGCAGCCTCAGCCTTCCTGTGCCACTTTGTGCATTCATAGGAGTTACGGCTTATCTGGAAGGATTGTGCTTCCAGGGCAGTGCTGTTAATRCTCTGAAACTCATTGCACTGCTGGCTTGTCCAACATTGTTTTACACATCTCCTCTCCCTGTGCTTTCTTTTGGGCAGAGGCATGAAAGTCATTGAAAACAGAGCTCTGAAGGATGAGGAGAAGATGGAACTGCAGGAGATCCAGCTCAAGGAAGCGAAGCACATTGCAGAGGAGGCGGACAGGAAATATGAGGAGGTGAGACCCTTGAGTGCTCCAGTACTGCTAGAGGAGAGTTGATTCCTCCTCCTGCTTTCAGCAAACCTAGGGCAGAGCCTGGCTCTCAGCAGAGCTACATCAGTGCTCTGCTTGGCCAAAAGCCTCTGGCAGCTGCAGTGGCTCCTCCAGGCATTCATTCCCTTCACTACTGCACATAGCCTACAARTGCAAAATCATCCTCCTTCCTCTTGACTCTGATTCTCCTGTGCAGGTTGCTCGGAAGCTGGTGATCATAGAAGGAGATTTGGAGCGTACTGAAGAGAGAGCTGAGCTCGCAGAGTCGTGAGTAGTCTGCTCGCATGTCCCTGGCACGTCTGCCTCTGCATGGGAACTAACACTGCATTGCCAACCTTGTTACACAAGGCCTGAAGCAGAGGGTGGGTTTAGGTCCTTGAAGGAAAGGGATGAAAGCACTCCCCTCCTCGAAACAGGATTAGCTCCACATGGAATCTGTGATGTGATTTGCCTTGGGCAGAGGTGCTCTGCCCCTTTGCATGGAGGCACTCTGRGTCACAGAGGCTGGAGAGCCTTCCTCTCCTTAGCATTCACCAGCACTGCTTTGTGTGTGCTGTCACAAGATTGTTCACTTTACTGCAGAGCACAGTGCTTGTCCTGAAGTGGCAGAGGCCTCCTGGGCCAGGGGCTGAAGCAGMATTTGGGGTGGCTGAGGGCAGAGCTGTGGCTGAGGCTGGTCTCTGGGCCTCTCCAGGTATTTGCAGTAACCACTACAACCACTACAGGCTTCTGCACTGCTGAGCAGGAATCAGGGCTTCCTCTGCTCAGAGCAGAGGCACAAATCCTGGTGTTCAGCCTTCTTTCATATGTCCATATGCTCTAGCTGATCCTTGAGGAGCTGGTCAGGGCCTTTCCATGCTTTGGGCCTTGTCTAACTCAGTTGGTGTGTACACAGCAGCAGCAGCAGCAGCACTGTGCTTCCTGCCCAGATGTGCATGTTGTGACCATGACTTTTTTGTGTTTCCCTCCATCCCCTTTTTCGCTCTGTGGTGGTGTGGTTTTGGTGCTCCTTTTGACCTTGCCCCCACTTGGCTTGTGCCATTGTGTGACCGTCACTAACAGTCATTGCCGGGAGCTGCAGGAGCAGATCAGAGTGATGGACCAGAACTTGAAGTGTCTGTCTGTTGCCGAAGAAAAGGTACTAACCCTTCCCTTCTTGAACCATTAAACCAAGAATTCATGTGGTCTCCTCGCCATGCTCCTCCCCTCAGCTTAATTGCGTCTCTCTCTCTCTCCTGGAACATTCTGTCTTCTGTGCCCATAAATATCCCTGTTTGAGTGGTGGTGGCTGTCCTTCTGTCTGTCAGAACAGCTTCCCTCTGTACAGCACACTAAACATAAAGCTTTTTCTTGGAGACTCCAGGTCTGGCAGAAGCCTGTGTCCACATCTCACTGCTCAGCTCTGTGCCCCGTGCATGTGCTGGCAGAAAACTTCAAACGTGAGCTCGGAGGCAAAAAGGGAACTTGCTTTCTGCATAAGTGCCTCAAAGCAGTGTCCTGTCCAGTCTGATCTCAGACAGTCTCCTAAAGAACTTCCTGGTCTTCCCTGCATGTGGATTCACTTCTTGTCTCCTGTCTTTCCCTCCCACTTCTTCTTTTTCCTTTTTTCCCTGCTTTCCTTACAAAATCCCACAGTAAATGTTCCGAGCTGGAGGAGGAGCTGAAGAATGTCACCAACAATCTCAAGTCTCTTGAGGCTCAGGCTGAGAAGGTAGGGCTGCCTGTCCCAGGGCCAGAAACATTGCTGTTGTGCTAGGAGGGTGTGTAAACAGCGGAGCACCCACTGGGATGGAAATTATTCAACTGCAGTCTTAAGCAAGACAGGAGAGCTGTGCTTGCTCTGCTGGGAGGGCTAATGTATGTCATTGGAGGGCTGTGGAAGCTGTGGTGTGGGAAGCCTGGCTGCCCTTCCTTGCCTTGGGGCAGATTCAATCAGCCAGGTTATTTAAGCTGCTAAAATGTTAAGATGAGAATTTTTCTGCACTCAAGTTTGTGTTCCATGCATGKTGTGGGACTTGTCGCCTGACCCAGTCCTGTTGGACACGGGTAAGGATGAACAACTCCCACTTGGAAGGTTTTGTGGGCATGTGTGCTGCATTGAGGAGTTTATGTCTCCCTCTGTAGCTGTGGGCTCTCTGGAAYGGGAGGTATCAGGGGCTGCTGACTGCTGACTCCTTTTCCACAGTACTCTCAAAAAGAGGATAAATATGAAGAAGAGATCAAGATTCTGACTGATAAACTCAAAGAGGTGAGTGACCATGTGAGGATGGCTCAGCTGGGTGAGCTGGCCTCAGTTTGTCTGGGAAGGGATGTGGAGGGTGGGAGACTCCATGTYCTCAGGCTGATGCCCTTTGGTGTAGAGCAAGTGCACTAACTGGCTTATTTCTGTCTGGCAGGCAGAGACCCGTGCTGAATTTGCTGAACGCTCYGTAGCCAAGCTGGAGAAGACCATTGATGATCTGGAAGGTACATTCTGGGGMTAGGAAACCAAGGAATATGTGTTGAGGAGTGAGAAGCTAAGGAAGGCTGTCTCYCAGGTAGCTGGAGAGTGGAGAGGCTGCTGTGCTCCTCAGTACTGGGAGCATAATCCAATTTGGCCTCCAGGGTGAGGCTTGGCCTCCTGCCCTGTGTATCTACTCTGAAAACAGTTCCCCACCTGTGCTGTGGCAGGTCTCAAGCTCTTGATCCAGACACCTTGCTGTATCTAGACAGCTGGTGTATTTTGGTAGTGATGTCCTCAGGAATGTAACTAGATCCCTGTGCTTGCTCCAGCTTAATCCGATTAATCTAGGAGTGGCATAGGAAGGAAACACCTGCACTTATAGGAATTGGTCACAATAACATCCTTGCATGCAGAATATCATGCACATGTGGGCTACTGCAAGCAGTGTCTTGCAAGTCAACCAAGGCATCAGTGAGTCTTGAAACACCTCCCCACCACATGAAGACTCAGAGTCCCCAGTGTGAGTCCTGAATCAAGGTTAAATCCCCAGCAGTTCAATCYACAAGGTGGCCAGCCTGTGCTGAGGGTGGGTTCCTTTCCTCCTCCCATTCCTTCACACTGTTCTTCAGGAACAATCCTGAGGCCAGCCATAGCAGAACCTTGCCCCAAGCCACAGAAGAAGAARGTTCCAGCTGCCTCCCTTAAATCTGGGACTCCAGCCAGATTCTTCTGTGATTGCTGTGGCTGAAGTGGTGGTGCTGGAAAACCAAAACCCTTACAGGCCTCCTACCTGGACCACAAGGGTGGCGTTGTGGTCTTTTAGTGCCAGGTCTTGGAGATAGAAAGCACCATCCTACARTCTGGAGTCACTCTGGAGGTTTGTTATCTAGAAATAGCAACGGTGTCAGCTGAGCTGTTCCAGAATTGCAGCCAAGCAGCAATCTGAGCCACCTTATGATCCAGGACAAGCTTTTATTTGGAACTGCAAAAACTCCTCCAAATCCCTGCATGCTCCCCTTGAAACTTGTTGATTGAGAGTTGGCTCTGGTCTCCAGCCTTGCTGCTGAAGTGACCTAGTTTATGACAACTGACAAAGTTCCCAGGGCTCTGCAAGGCTGTTAACAGCATGCCCATGCAGCCTGGGCAGCCAGAGCTGGAGCAGCCTGTGCCAGCTCTGCAGGGCTCAGGGATGGATCAGCACAGCTCCTTGGAGGTGGAGAGCTGTCTGTCTGCTTCATTATCTGATGGAGAACACCGGTGTGGCTGGTACACTCCTCCACCTCACTGCATCCTGCAGGATGGCAATTTCCTCTGATGCCCAGCTCTATCACATGACTGACTTCTCCCAAGCCAGTCTTTGCATTGAGACCCAGGTGAGAACAAAGCACCTCAATTATCAGTGCTCTCCTTAGGTGTAGCAAGCTTCTCCCTAAGTGGATGGTGTTGCCCTTGCTGCTGCTCTTGTCACTGGTTCCTGCTGACCTAGCTGGACAGCCTGTTTTTACAAGCTGATGTGGTTTGAGCACTTGGCTCTGCTGGCCTTGGAGCAGGATTGTAATCCTGGGAGGCACTTGGGGGTCAGTCAGTCCTCAGGCTGCTGGAACCCTCCTGTTCATTGTTGGGGATGGACACGGAGTCGTGATGGCTCCACATCTAACTTAATTTTCTTCTGTTCCTGAATCCCATCCTGCTTTTCCTGCCCCCGAGTGTTGGAAGAACTCCTTTGCCTTCCCTCATTGTTTCCCTTTTGTTCTCCTCCTAAACCTCTTCTAGATGAGCTCTATGCCCAGAAACTGAAGTACAAAGCAATTAGTGAGGAACTGGACCACGCCCTGAATGACATGACTTCCATGTAAATATGAGCTGGCTGGCGTTCACCTCTCGCTTCAGCAGGCTGGACRGCCAGTGCTTGCTTGGTTTGCTGTGGTTTCTGTAGTTGGAGAATTGACAGCTCTGTGCTGTCTAGGTTACTTCTACAGATCTGCCCAAGGTGYCCCAGCATGCTGTCCTCTAACTCTAGGTCCTCGTGATCTGCATGTGTAACCAAGAGCTGTGCTGACCTGAAAGGGTTCCGACTTAAATTYGAGTGCAATTCCCATTCCCACTGGAAAAAGCTTTCTCAGGAAATGTGGCTTTGTCATGTGCTGGAGTCACTGGGCCATGGTCTCRGGATTCCTTTTGGAAGAGGCTGTGGACAGTGCTCAGGTGGATTCCTTAGGAACTGCCACAACAGGCTTGAGATGGGCTGGATCATGAACTGATCTGTGGAAGTAGCTGAACTTGTGTGTTTCTGCAACTTCACTCCTCAGCTTTGTGTTCAGATCTGCAGTGGGTGCTGCTAACAACTGCTCCGTCTGGTCCTTGCACTAACCCAGGAGAGGCCAGGTCCTCACCCTACAGAGAAGAGCCTTAACATGAGTGTYCCAAGGGTCCCTAAGCACAGTTTGCTATGCACAAACACTGAAGCTTCTCTTAAAATTAGTGTCTCCTTCTGTCTCACACAGATGAGTCTTGCGATTCCAAACTCCACTTTGGATTTTTCTCTCTGGTGGCTTATTCTGCATCTGCACCCTGCATTCACGCTCTCGTCATCTCACTCTGAATTCCAGTACCTTTTTCCAGTTCCTGTGCACAGGGCATCCCTGGAAACGGGTTCTGTAAAGACACTGAAGCTTGACAGCAGCAGCAGTCCCCCAGTTCTGCTGCACTTGCTCCCAAACAAAGCTGCCTCTGTGTGACCTGATGTGCCAGACACGGCCTGCTCTGAGGGGCTGCCCTTTCCGTGTCGGGGGAGCTGGGAGGATGTTGTTCTCATCTGCATATCTTGTGTGGAGCCATAAAGCTCCTTTTGTATTTCTCTTGCCTCTTGCTCGAGCATGATGTCGCCTTTTTTAAGGAAAACAGTTCTTGTATAAATGGCTGGTGCTTTTGAGAAATGGGTTTCTAGCGACCACTAGAACTGTTTCAGCATTGCCTTCAGACCCATATCTCCCTCGGTGGAGTGCAGACCTCACTAGCACGCTGGATTTTTCTTTGGGGTGTGTTACTGGCTCCCAGAGTGATGGCAGCTCTGCAGACAGGGCCTGTGGGGTCAAACAGGAGGCTGGGGGTTGCAGCCCTGGAACTATGCCTGACTGAAGACACTCCTCATTCCTGCCTGCTCTGGAGTGTTCACCAGCACCCGTTGCCAAGCRCTGGCTTGCATTGGGAGGTCACAAAGCTTATAGTCTCTAGTCAGGGTGTGGAAGCCAATAAATGTTGTGTGAGCTCTGGCTGGTCTCCACTGGGGCAGAACTGGTTGGGTGCGAGGTGCTGCCTGTGCYGGGGGGAGGGACGTATGGCATTTTGCTTCAGGAATGAGAAGACACTGCAGCAGGGCTGTGAGCATCTGAGCCAGGGAATCTGTGTTTTACAGAGCCCTCTCCACCCCATGCAGGGGCTGAGGGCTGCAGGATCATTCTGGGAGCGTGGCATGGAGCTTCCCACTGAGCACTGCCCCTGGCAAATGCCTGGTGTGTGTCACCGCTGCGTTGTTGCTAGTTGATGTGGTATGATAAACACTGGTCAGCCTCTCAAAATGGTATGTGCTGCCTCATGGTGGTTGGTCAAATAYCTTTTCCTTTCTGGATCGGTTCATCTGCCACAGTGCCCGAAGAGCCCTTCGCGAGCAGAGTTCTGATGAGATGGGACACTTCCCGTGGCTGGCTCAGGTTTGTGTCCTTCTSCTCTCCACATGACAGCACTGGCAGTCAGGATAATCCATGCAARCTCACCTGCCCCAGTCTGTCCCACTTCATCTTTGGTGGCAGGTCTGGGTGAGGAAGGARGGAGCATTCAAGGAATTCCAAAGTGTGGTCTGACTCTCTTGGGATGTGGGGCAGTAGCTGTGCCTTGTAAGSACAAAGCAAGAACCCAGAACTCCTAAGTAACCCAAGTGCAGCTGGAGTTGAGGATCTGGATCCTGTGGGAGGGACAGGAGGCTTCTGTTAATGTGGAGGTTTCCACTGTCAGCTCTTAAGACCAAGGGGACACCATCATTATCTGTCAGTATGTGTTAGGGACTGGGCCAGATTCTGCTCAGTGGTGCCCAGCAGTAGCACAGGCAACACATAGAAACTGATGCCCAAGAAATTCCACCTGAATATGAGAAAGAATTGCTTTCCCATGTTGGTAACTGAGCACTGAGCAGATTGCCCAGAGAGGCTGTGGAGTCTCCCTCACTGGAGATATTCCAGAACAATCTGGACACAGTCCTGTACCATTGTGCTCTGRGATGACCCTGCTTGAGCAGGAAGGTTGGAGCAGATAAGTGCCAGTGGTCCCTTTCACCCTCACTGCTGTGATTGTTGGTGGGTGGGAGGTGGCAGCCTGCCCTTGGGAAATGCCTCTCTCCTCACAGGGAGGTCTGGTTGCATTCTGGCTCGTGCTGTGGGGAGCTGGTGGCTCTGCTCTGCACAGTGGTGTTCCAAGGAATGTTATCTAARGCTGGGTTGTGGCAGGCCCTTTCCCCACTCATCCGGATGGAATCCACTCTGGGTGGTGGATGAGTGTGTGCGTGGGTGATGCAATGTCTGCCCTGGGAGGTTTTGGAGGCATCTGGTTTGTCTGGATTGCTGGGCTTGTGCAGGCTGGTTCCTGTGTGCTGTGCTGTGACTGGGGAGTGCTGCAAATACAGGTTAAATGACCAGGAGGGCCATGTCCTAGGACTCCTCAGGAGTGACAGGGACAATTTGGTGAGGCTGCCTGGGTGCTGGGCAGAGAAGGGAGCAGGCCAAACGTGGGCTAGCTATCTGCAGACCTGGGCAAGTTCCTGATGCAGCAGATGCTGTTCCTGAAGTCTGGGAGGCATCATGCTAAACACTCCAGTCTGCTGCCTTGTGTGGGTCAATCATCAGGCCCCTGTCCCAAAGCTCTGAGCTGTTGGACCAACTGAGTCCTACTGAGCACAGTTCACTCTCATCCTCTCATCCTGGAGACCCAGGACCAGCCTGGATCACTTGGGGATGGAGACAGGAATTGGGGCTGTTCAGAGCCAGCGTGGAGCTGGAGTCCCTCACAGTGACAGTAGCTGTTGTGCAAGGCACAGGCCAGGATGGTGTGTACCCACAACTTCCCTCAGCTTCCAGGTTGTGGTAGGACAGAAATCATTGGCTTTTCTGGCCGTGCCTTGGTCCCTTGGTGGCTCTAAAGAAGGAACAGTCAATCAGCATTACTGCCCTCTCCTGTGGAGCGAGGTGCAGTTAGAGCAGGTCCTGAGGACTGAGAGAAGCTGAGGGTGAAGATGAAGTTGAGCTTCTCCCTCTGTGTTCAGGTGTCACATTGGAGGCACTGAGCTGAGACTCGGGAAGGTGACATGCTTTGGCTGCTCCATGTAAACCACTCAGCTGTCTGGAGTTTTACCCAGCCAGGTCTTGTTCCAGAGCAAAATATTCCCAGGTTGAAAGCAATGARGAATGGTGTAGCTCCCCTTCAGAGGGTCCCCGAGATTCCTAGGACCTTGTAGTACAAGGATTAGAGGAGAAGCCCAAGACCCAAGCCCAAGGCTGTGTTCCAGGCTCACTCCTCTGGCAGAGGCAGCACACTATGGGTCACTGCAGGTGGTGCTGGGCAGTTCTGCCAGGCTGGGAGATGATGTGTAAGGATTTTYCACTGCCTGGAATTCCCTAAATGCAGGAATTGGAGCTGTCAGGCTGTCAGAGAAAACTCTGCCCATGCAAATGAGCAGAAAGAGATGCTGAGTGGATTATCTGTAGTGGCTGGTTGTGGCTGACAGGCTGTGTGTCAGGACATTGGCCACCCTGCCTTAGAGGTGACATGCTGGAAAGGGACCACTTGGTTCTCCCTTTGCATGGAGCTGCTGATGAGCAAGAGTGCTTGGCATGAGCCTCAAGGATGTGTGTGGCTGCTGGACCCCTTGGGGCTGTAAGGTCAGGGACTGGAGAGGCAATGGCTGCAGAGAGAGTGGCAACTTGTGCTCTGCTCATGTAGTTRTTCTGTGCTCCAAAAGTCCCTTTGTCCTGTACCTGAAGCAGTTGCTGCCTTCAGTCCTGTCTGGGTTGTTAGTGTGGCATCAGACGTGTTCTCAGAGGAGAATCCTCCAGGCCAGGGATGAGATATTGTCATTCTCAGTTCTTCTGGTGTGCCTGTCCTGCTGTTYAAACCCTGTCAGTCCCAAGGCAGTGTGGTGTGGCTCCCTCTGGAAGCTGCTTCTGGTACAGCTGTGTCAGGATTTGTTTCTGCTTAAGGCACATCCCAGGTCTCTGTCCTYGCTGGGGTCCAGCCCAGCCCACCTGCAGGCTCCTCTTCTGGTGTCTCCTCTTCCTTTCTTTGCCTTTGCACATCTTTGGCAGCACTTTCACTTCTGCCCACACTCTGTGATCTTCCTGAGCTGAAGCACAAGTTAGAGAAAGAGAAACCTTTGAGAATAGCCCTGGCTGTCCTCAGAAGCACTTGTTATGGAGACAGCTTTTTTGATGTGCTCATCCTGGTGCTCTACTAACCTTCCCTTTCTCTCTTTTTCTCTCTTCCTCTTGTTTCCCTTATCCTGTCGCTGCTGCAGAGCGCCTGTACAGCCAGCTTGAGAAAAACCGCCTGCTCTCTAATGAGCTGAAGTTAACGCTGCATGATCTGTGTGACTGAGAAGGGGCCCACTAATCCCATTAAACGAGCTTATTGCGACCACCAGTGCTCTGGACCACAGTGAAATCTGATCATTAACACTGGCAGACTTGCCAATTTTATGCAATTGCTGCTTTTTAATGAGGCACTTGGCTTTATCCTGTAATTTATTTAAGCATTTTTTAATATATGAAGGTAACCTCTTATTCTTGGTGAAGTCACCCCCAGACTTGGCTGTTTTTTGAGCAGTCTTGTTTACTTTGTYCAGGGGGTCCTGCCTGGCTCCTCCATGGAACCAGAATGGGGTGAAGTTAGGATTATGTCTGCTTGAAGCTGCCTGTCAAGTGCTRCAACTTAATTTACTATTAGCTGAATGATTGTAGGATGTCCTGGTGCATGGAATGATGGCTTCTACCAATAAATGACTGACCTTGTGGTCTGTGAGACAYTGCACACCTGTAGTACATTCCTATCTAGGGGAGTCCTAACAGAAGGTTTTGGGGGAAGCAGTAATTTCTCAGGCCTCACCCCAGTGCAGCTGCAGAGCCCTGGAATGGGCTGGGAAAGCTCACTGACATCTTGACAGCAAGTGCCAAAATGCACAGCCYGAGGCTGTGTCCTGGCTGCCTGCAGGGAGTGTTTAAATGCTGCCACTGCTCATGCTCAGGGAAGGCTKTTCTCTCTCTCTGTGCTCAGTTTCTGGCCATGGGGAGGTTGGGAGTGGCTTTGGGRATCTGCTTGTACCTAAAGGACATTTTTCTCCAGCCTGTCAGTCCAGCGCCGCAGCGTGTGGATGTCTCCAGTGATATGGGTGGGCTCACCTTTGGAGTAAAGCCTACTTAGAGCAYTTAGCTGCTGATCTGCTCTCCTCCTGGCTTAAGGAACATGTGAGAATTGACTGCACAGCTGCCTGTAGTGCCGGGCAGGGTGCAGCTCCCTCACTCCTGCTCTCTGCTGTCACTGCCCCAGCCCCTGCCCTGCTGCCCTCCAGGCTGGTGATCTGCTCCCTGCTGCTGGCCTTGGTTGGCATCCCTGCCCTGTGCTGAGGGGAAGGGGGGCACAACCAGCTGTAGTTTTGGGGTGGGGGGGTGGTTTCCAAGCGTGTGTTGCTCTTTGGGTGCCTTGCTGGGCCACGTATGTCTGCTGTGGAAGCCCTGGGAAGAGCTGGCTGCAGTCAGAGGCACCCACATGTGAAACACTGCCCAGAGCTGTGGCTAAARGTGCACCCTGACCACGCTGAGCAGGAGCACCAGCAGTGGGARAGGCAGGAGCTACACCCAGGGGAACCTCAGAGCTTCCAGCTGCACCCAGCCAGGCACTCTGTTCTGAGGATTGCTGCGGGAGAGGGGCTGGCACAAGCTTTCTTTGGCAAAGGACTCCCAGTTGTTTGATGCTGCTTTGTAACTCTCAACTCTTGCTTCCTGCCAGATAAACTGAAATCCACCAAAGAGGAGCATCTCTGCACGCAAAGAATGCTGGACCAGACCCTGCTAGACCTGAACGAGATGTAATGGATCCCTGCCACTGCCTCTGCCACGTGTTGCCAGCCCAGCTGCTGCTGCCCTCTAACCCTGGSGGCCAGAGTTTACTTTCTGTTGCCAACTTGACCAAACACAAATCTCCTTTGCTCCAGGGTTAAAGGCCACCAGGTTGGGTAGAGCTTCAAACAGCATCATTAAGGGAAACAAACAATGCAATAATGTTTGGAGAGCATGTTTTGAGATGTACACATTTTGTAACTACCTTTTTTTGTAGCAACCATTATAAACATTCCAAATAACATGTGAGGCTGGTGAGCTACACTTCAAAGCTCTTGGCTTTAGAATTTGATATTAACCTTCTGTTAATCAGCTCTGGGCCACCCTGCTTTGGCAGGGCAGGAAATGGATGTGATGGTTCTGGCTGTGAGTCAGAGTAGCCAGGCTAAAGTTGAAGGCCTGTTGGGAAAATTTCCTTTCCAAGAGCTGTTTGCCAAAAGCGCAGTTCCGTTTTTCAGCTTTAAGGTAACTCTGTGCTGGGGAGGAACAACTTGGGTGAAAGGTGCCCCTTTTTTTTTGTTTTTTTTCTTTTTTTAAGCCAAGCCAGTCATCTGAACAATTGAACCAGTTCACAGGGGTTGTGTCCCTTTCCCTCCCGACCTGATGGGCTTAAAGAAGYCACTTCCCCTATAACCCATTGCTACCCTGGGGCTGACTTTGCCTTCACTAAGTGCTGATGCACCAAGCTTCACTGCTCATCACTTGGTTACACTTAACAGCTTAAGTACAACAGCCTTGTGTTTTTGGAGAAGTGTTTTTGCCTACCTGGAGAGAGGGAGCYGTGCCTTCTCTCCTGGCCAGGACTGCTCTTACTGTCTTAATTGGGTACAAGCCATCTTGCTGTGCATTGCTGATGTGTTGTGGTTGTGAGGCGTGAGTGTGGCACTGTCACACTTGTGGCGTGTAGCTTGTGGTTTTGAGCATGCTGCTTGGTTGTAGCAGTTTTTGGGGCCAATCTGGAGACAAAAACCCTATCCAGTGTTTTGATACTAAATTGAAAAATTGTGTTACTGTCTTTTGAAATAAAAACTGATCCCTCCACACTGCTGCTGGCTGCAGGGCTTTACTATGCGGGTTTGTGGGGGATGAGGGTGGGGATGAAGATGGGTACATGCCCATCTTGTGGGGGTGAGACCAGGCATAGGGTGAGTATTACTCCCCAGAGCTGGAGTGCTAAAGCAAGACTGGTGACAAGCTCCTCAGTCAGTTTGGAGATGACACTGAGTTGGGTGGAAGTGTTGATCTGGAAGGCAGGAGGGCTCTGCAGAGGGATCTGTACACGTTGGATCCATGGGCTGAGGCCAGTGGTGTGATGGTCAACAAGGCCAGGTGCCAGGTACAGGTGTGTTTGGGTCACCAAAACCCCCTGCAGGGCTCCAGGCTTGGTGGAAAAGTGGCCAGAGAGCTGGAAAACAAAGAATCTGAGGGTGCTGGTTGACACAGCTGGACATAAGGCAGTGTGTGCCCAGCTGGGCAACCAGCCATGGTGTGGCTGTAGGGCCAGGCCAGTGCCCATCCCTTGTGCTGGCACTGCTGAGGGACCTCAAACCCTCGGTCAGTTTTGGACTTCTCATGACAAGAAAGAGATCTYGRGGMTGGAGCGTGTCCAGAGAAGGGAACAGAGCTGGGGAAGGGTTTGGAACACCAGGAGTGGCTGAGGGAGCTGGGAGGGGCTCAGCCTGGAGAAAAGGAGGTTCTGGGGGSATYTTGTGGCTCTGCACAACTCCCTGACAGGAGGGGSCAGCTGGGAGGGGGTTGGGGTCTGCTCCCAGGGAACAGGGACAGAACAAGTAGAAACWGCCTCMWGTTGTGCCAGGGGAGGTTTAGATTGGATATTTGAGAAAATTTCTTGACAGGAAGGGTTGTCCAACCCTGGCACAGGCTGCCCCATCCAACCTGGCCTTGAACACTTGCAGGGATGGGGCAGCYACAGCTTCTCTGGGCACCCTGTGCCAGGGCATCACCASCCTCACWSKGAAAAATTCCTWCCCAATATCCCATCTAACCCTGCCTTTGGCAGTGGGAAGCCATTCCCCCTTGTCCTGTCAGTCCAGGCCCTTGTCCAAAGTCCCTCTCCAGATCTCTTGAAACCCCTTTAGGCACTGGAAAGCTGCATTTTCCTGAGCCAGGGAAGGTTTGGAGAGCARAAGGGACCATCTTGAATAAAACCCAAATCCTGAGCTCAGGGTCTTCTTGTGGGGGAATGGGCAAGGCTGTGCCTGCGAGGCAGGAAGCTCTCACCTGGTTGAGCAGCCTGGCAGGGTGAGAGACTGCTGCAAATCTGACAGCAAATGGGGCTGAGGGGTTGTTGTCCTGCCTGTGTTGGGCAGTGGGACACAGGGTTGTGCAGTCAGAGCAGAAGAGCTCTTACTGTTGAATGGTGTCAACCCCAAAACCTGGACTAGAGGGGGCATCAGGTTAAAAACAGTCAGCTGCTTTTRTAGAATTAGAACTTGCCTTCAAACATGATGACTTTGAACATTGCCATGGTGTTTTGGCACCTGGAGGGTGTTGTGTTCCTGCAGCAGTCCAGCAGCAGGATGGGCACAGTGTGATCTGTGTGCCTGGCACAGCTCCCTCCTCTCTTTGCTCAAGAGTCCCCCACCACACAGAATTCCAGCTGGATCTGATCTCTCCATCCTCTTTCCCAGGTATGACCAAACTGATTTGCAGTAAAAGACTGTAAAAGCAAACAGGACATTTTGGAGCCTGATTCCAACTTTCCCCGAATGCTTCAACTTCCCTGAGTAGTTACTTGAGTGCTCTGAGGACACCCATATTCTCTTTTGATAAAATGAAAATA